GAAAGCGAAACTGCAGATAATGGAAGACTACTGTAGTTTCCTTTTAGAGGGTGAGATTTATTCATCTGTCCTGAAATTCTCTAGGCTTAGATCTTATTTGGGTCCTATAATCCAAATTAAACGTTAAAAATAAATGTTATTCCTCCTGTTTTCTTGAATTACCATTTGGCTGTTCTCTCCTGAATCCTTGGAGTGGGAATTAGTAACAGTTTCATGATGTGAATTCATTCTGATAACCTAAGAAAATAAGATAAAGACACCTCTATGCTTCATTGCTGCAGGGAAGCAGCTGGTCCTGCTAGAGAAAGAGACTGGTGTTTATCAAGAGACTACCTAGTACTTTGGTCTTAAAGTGAGTGTACTGTGAGCATTGAAGTGAGAGCACCATAAGAAATGCTCTGGATATGCACTTTAAGGTACAGCCCGTCTCTTGAAGAAGTTGACTATCCTGTGAGATAGTAAGTTTGACGTTAATGGGAATGAGAAAAGAAAAAATAGTTTGCCCAGCAAAGCCCTGTACAGACATTAAATTACAGCAGTGAAGCCATTCACAATGGCTTAGGTGTGGATATCCGGAGATCACACTGTTCGCCATAGGCATTAGTTCCCTGGCCCTCAATTTCCATGTCCTTCCATGGCTTCAGAGAGCTTTAAAGAATTTAGTTTTGAATTTTTTACATATTAGGAAGGCTTTGGGTCTGTTTTATGTTATTGTTCTGTTTTCAGGTTGTAGTATGTTTGCCTTACATTTTTATTTGCTTGACTAGTAAGTCCTTTTTCTATACAAATAAACAGTTAAATCTTCTCTGAGAAGACCTTTCTGAATATGTACCTAATATTTACGGACTGAAGGACAGTTGCAGTTTGTTTGTAGCTTGGCCATGTAGGGCTGCCAAGGTTGGAACCCCAGGGTGGCCTCTTGAGAGGTTATATTTGGCACTACTTAGTATTAGGAACCCAATCTCCTGCCAAATATAGCCTCTCCATAGGCTGCCTACAGGGTTCCAGACATGAAGCAGACTAGCACATACTCCCAAAATGTTCGTTCTGGTGAATTCAGCATACACCACCATGTGCCAAGCGCCATGCTGGCATAGTCACTAGGGGCACTAAGAACAAACTACAGTCCAGAGTGAGAAAGGAAAAGGAGTGATTTAATTCTTCCTTATCTTTCAGAGTTTTTGATTTGGAGAAGCTTGCCTTGGCCGCCTCTGCTTATGTTATTCCTTTTTCTTGGAGTAGAAAAATAAGATCTGTGTTTCTAATGATATAAAACCCATGTAATTATATATCTTGAGACCTTTGTTTAAAGCAAAATGTGTCTGTTCTTCCAAGAGCCTTGTTCTTCCAAGGGCTGTTGATCTGCTCGGTGATCAGAGTGGTTTGGGTGGAGAGGCTTGGGCTTTGGAAAGGGCGATGGGCTTGGAGATATCCTCTCAGGTGGCTCTGCAGAACAGTTTGAAGATGAACCCCCTTGCTCCAAGCGTGTCTGAAATGATTTCAAAAGGCTGTTTGAAATTCTATGCTTGGGTTTAGAATAAGGGGGGGGGAAGAAACAGAATAGCAGTTGTATAAATACAAGGCTGAGGAGGAGATCTTCTAGCTGCAGAAGGATTTATGAGAAAGGGCTTTGGGGCTTAGTGACTCTGAGCTCACTCGGAATCAACATGTGGGGTGGCTGTCAGAGAAATTTTAGGATCCGTTAATAGTATCTAAATAGTTCTGTATTAGGCCACGTTTGGGGAGTTACATTAAGTTCTGAGTATCCCAGTGAAGGAAGACAGACTGATTCGGGGTAAACAGGTAATATTGTAACTAGGAAACCACGTTATATGAAGAATGTTGGAAAGTTGAGGATATTTGGATCATACCAGGCCCTTAACCAGCAGTTTAGGAACTAGGTTCATTTAGCAATCTTTTACTCATTGCCCTGTGTCTCTGGCTTCCTAGCAGTTTCTCATTCTCCTGTAATACGTCTCTGAGATTATAGTTATTTCCATGACCGAGAGCTGGAGCAGCTTCCTGGGCCCTTTGCCTTTCCATAGGTTCTTAAAACTCATATTTAAAACTTGAATATAATAATTTGAAGCACATATTACCTTTTAGTTTGTCTGTATCTTGCCTCCTTAACCAGATCGTACACTCAGTAAGAGTGGAGATGTGCATTCATTCATTCCACAAATCTAGGCCTTCTGTGTGCTGTACACCGCTGGAGAGGCAATGTAACAGCAGTTTAGACTGGCTGGAGCCAGTCACCTGGGTTCAAACCCAGGCCTGCCGCTTAAAGCTGTGTGCCCTTGAGCAAGTTAATTTACCCTCTTTTTATGTGTTAGTAACCTCATCTGTAAAATGGGATATGTAATGCCTGCCTTGAGGATAAAATAAGTTAATAAATACACTGTTTAAGTTTTTACTGTTCTGGGCATTGAGGATACAGCAGTAAATAAGAAAGATGAGATTTCTCTGGGGGAGGAGAGGGTAGTGATTTGGTCCCTCCTCCCAGTTGGGAGGGGCCTTGGGGATTTCTCAGGTCTCGTGCTCTGGTTCTCTGCTGGGGTAGTAGTCCGTCCCTTTCTTATGCAATTCACCAAACGTGTGTTGAGCGTCTTGCTCAGGAGAGCAGGGTAGGCTGAATAATGTCCACCCAAAGGAACAGGTCCCGATTCCCAGAACCTGGGAATGTTACCTTATATGGCAAAATGGACACGTTTTACAGGTGTGACTAGGGATCTTAGAATGGGGAGGTCATCCTGGATTATCAGGGTGCGCACAGTGTAATCACAAGAGTCCTTGTAAGAGAGAAGGCAGTGTGAAGACAGAAGCAGAGAGAGAGAGAGAGTTGAAGATGCTGTGCTGCTGGCTTTGAAGACGGAGGAGGGGCCACAAGCCAAGGACTGCAGCTGTAGAAGCTGAAAAGGCAGGGAGATGGATTCTTCCCCAGAGCCCCCACAGGAAATGTGGCCCTGCCTGCACCTTGAGGTTAGCCAGTGAGACCCATTTTGAACTGCTTACCTCCGACAGTAAGACACAACTGTCGTCTTTTAAGCCAAAAAAGGGGGAGAGATTTCTGCTGGTGGAGAGCTTATATTCTAGTTGGATAAAGATGGAACAACAGGTAAACACAGTAGTTTCAAGTACGAAGTTTAGGGCTCTGAGGAAAAAAGTAAGGTACTGGACTAGACTCTGGAGAATGACTGGGTGACTACTCTTGATTGGGTGGCCAGGCACACCTCTGAGGAGAGAGCTTTTGAGCAGAGATCTGAATAGCAAAAAAACCTGAGAGGTAGGGGCAGCTGAAATGTTGATCATTATTTCCCCTGTTAACAAAGCCAGGGGCAGCATCACTTAAAAGACTGTTTTGCTAAGCAGTGAGGCAGTGAGGTATGCTAGAAGAAGCCCTGGAGTTTGGGTCTGGTTTGACTATTGACGAGCTTTGTGATCTTTGATCCCTTACTCTTCCTGGTCTTTGATAGACACACGCTATAGCAATTCAAGTGTTTGCTCCTTGGAACATGCCCACAGTTCTCTAGGGTATAAAGGAGAGTAAGCGAGAAGGGTTGATAGTGCACCTTGCTGACCAAACCCAGCGGTCACTCGTCAGGGCAACTCTGAGCCTCTCTGTTCATTTCTGTGGAGGGGGAAGAAAAGGGGAAAAGACAGTTTTCTTTTTTTCGTGGGAAAATGATCCTGAAAGAAGGTTGATTCTTGATGGTAAAGAAGAGCTAGAAGAGGGCCTGGGCCTCCTGGCCATCGTGGCTCAGTTCTTGCACTCAGCTTCAGTGGCCTGGGCTTTGTAGGTTTGGATCCTGGTTGCGCACCTACACCCTGTTCATCAAGCCCAGCTGTGGCGGTGTCCCACATAGAAAATAGAAGACTGGCACAGATGTTAGCTCAGAGCCAATCTTCCTCACCCCCCAAACAAAAAGAGCTAGAAGAAAGTGACAGTTCTTTACTTTATAAATTAGGCCTATGTTTATGGATTAGTACCCTGTATTTTACAGGATGTAGTTAGTATGTGCTGTCATGAGATTAGAATATTTGAGAATACTCTTGCATGCTTTTTTTTTCTTTTAAGATTTTTTTATTTTTAATTTTTCTCCCCAAAGTCCCCCAGTACGTAGTTTGTGTATTTTTAGTTGTGGGTCCTTGTAGTTGTGGCATGTGGGATGATGCCTCAGCATGGCTCAATGAGCAGTGCCATGTCTGCACCCAGGATCTGAACCAGCGAAACCCTGGGCCCCCGCAGCAGAGCATGTGCACTTAACCACTTGGCCACAGGGCCGGCCCCTCTTGTACACTTTTTAAACCTTTTCCTTGAAGTAAATATTAAGGATATGCCACATGGCTTCAAGGTTGAGGGAGTAGAGAAGTGGTCAAATGTGCTGTATACTTTTTATAACCAAGATATCGTTGTGTAGGGTTTCTTCTGTTAGAACTGGGAAACATGTTTCAGGTCATCTCAGTACTTTTATTAACAGCTAACTTAGTTCACAAAATTTGTCTGCTTATTGTGTGCACCCAATCATTGATAGCTCCCCTCATTTTTGTCAGTGTTTTATAGCGTTCTGCACTTGGAGTTTCCTGTCAGGTTTTCCAGTTGCTGTGGCTTGGTCTCTTTGGGATCATGCTGCTTAGAAATCCCGCTTGATGAAAGGGCAAAGAGTAAATTTTTTTAAAATCAGTCATTTCATCTGTTTTTGGTTTTTGTGCTGGTGAGGAAGATTGGCCCTGAGCTAACATCTGTGCCAGTCCTCCTCTATTTTGTATGTGGGACACCTCCACAGCATGGCTGATGAGTGGAAGAGATCTGTGCCTGGGATCCGAACCTGTGCACCTGGGCCGCTGAAGCAGAGCGCATGGAACTTGACCCACTCGGCCCTGAGGCCAGCCCCAGTTCATCTGTTTTTTTGTTTTTTTAAAAAATTGTTTCTAGGCGTCCAGAGAAGTTCAAGTTTGCAGAGAAACTCACTCATTTGTTTGAATCTCTTTTCTTACATTAGGTGTAATTGAAAAGTGACCCTCTCTTCTCAGAGATGTCTAAAACAAACAAATCCAAGTCTGGATCTCGCTCTTCTCGCTCAAGATCTGCATCAAGATCTCGTTCTCGTTCATTTTCGAAGTCTCGGTCCCGAAGCCGATCTGTGTCTCGTTCAAGGAAGCGCAGGCTGAGGTAAGGGGGTGCGATTGTATAATGCGGTAATCGTTTCCTCGGTTACTATGGGTCTTGAAGATCTTGTGTTAGACTCTTTCTGTGAGTGTCAAATGGACTGGGGGGTTGGCTTGAGGTGGAGGGTTGGGCTATAAGATATTCTAGGGCTCTTCAAATGCTCCAAATCCACAGCAGCTTTGATTGCCGTACTGTTTGCCTAATTCCTTTTCTCCTCTGCCAGCACATTCTGTTTCTCATCTACTTTGGAAGAAGGAGCATTTTATTTTTGTTTGAGCTGCTTGCTTCAAATCTCTACACCTGATTATTTTTCACTGAAGTATTTTTGGAGGCTTGGACCAAAGTTTATTTGCATCATCAGCAGAGAAAGGATAGCTAAGAGGATTAATACAACAGTGAGAGGAAAGGGAGCTTTAACCAACTAAATAATTAAACCTAAAAAACTTATCAGGAGTCGTTTGTATATACGTGATGTGCCAGTTACTAACAACCTGCATCTATTTAGTAAAACACATCCTGAAACTATCTAAGAATCACTATCGTAGACATCAGTTTGTCATACTAAATTCTTTGTAATTTACTGCCGATGTTCTTTAATTCAGTCAGTTTTCATACCTTTAGGTGGATTTCCCTATTTCAATTATGTCTTGGAATAGGATGCCAAACCTCCAGCGTCTTTTCCTCTTTTGATGTGTTGTGAGTTGGGTTTTTCATTCTTTAAAACTGTTTAATTCTCTTTTGTAAATAGTTAAGAACCTTTCAGTAGCTGCAAGTTTCTGTATGTGTGTTAGGGAAATATTGATGTGTTTAAATACCAAAGGGGGATTTTGCACAGTTTCGTTCTTTTTGTCAGAATTGCGCTGGGCAAGGAGATAATTTCTCAGTTTTGCCACTTGGAGTACCTGCTGTTTATTTCAAATGAGTATGTAGAATCCTTTTCTTAAGTGAATTGATTATGAAATTTAAAATAAACTTCAGGAAAAGTTAAGTTTTTTTCCTCATGGTTTCCTTAGTCCTATAGTACTTCTGAAACACTGTTAAACAAATGGTTGGTGGGGTTTTTTTTTCCCCTTCGAACAAGAAGTTAAATTTTTTTTTTTTAAGATTTTATTTTTCCATTTTCTCCCCAAAGCCCCCTGGTACACAGTTGTATATTTTTATTGTGGGTCCTTCCAGTTGTGGCATGTGGCATGTGATGCCGCCTTAGCATGGCCTGATGAGCGGTGCCATGTCCATGCCGAGGATCTGAACCAGCGAAACCCTGGGCCGCCGAAGCAGAGTGCGCAAACTTAACCACTCGGCCACGGGGCCGGCCCCAAGGAGTTAATTCTTAAATGAAGAAGTAGTAAATTCTTCTGTGAGAAGCCTGCCTGAAAATTAATTTCAGACTAACGGTTGAACAAAAAGTAGGTGTGCATAAATATTGATGACTCCAATATAACGTAGAATAGGAGGCTATAAACTTTGAGTCTCTCCATCAAACAAAAGTAACACTAGATTTTTCTTTTTTTAAGGTAACATTACACCTTGAGGCCAACCCATGCTAGTTTTCCCTCTCTCCCATGTTTCTTGGGCATCCATTTTCATACCACACTTTGTTCACGCCCTGGGCTAGATAGAGTCTGTCTGTTGCCCAGTTAGGTCACAGGCTAAGTAAAATTCTATCGCACCTTCTCACCCCCCAAAAAAGAAGAGGGAAAACCCACTACGTATACTTATATTTACCTCAGGAAATTGCCATCAAGGCCATGGGACTGAGCAGACTTCTGGTAGCTCCTGCCTCGCACCCAGAGTCTTTTGATTTGGGCCGTTTAAACCTCGGTTTTAGCTCACTTGCTTCTTAAAGGTGACCTACTAGAGGCTGTACAGCCAAAACTGAGAGTCAGTGGAACTGACACAAACCAAATTGAAAAAACACTCCCCGGCTCTGAAGTGTTTGTGGTAGCTGGGATTCTGGGCAGATCTGTAGGGCGGATGTCTTCTCTTATTCTGCAAATCATTTGGCATGGTCATTGACTTGGCACATGAGGGCAGGACGTACTGGGGGAGGTCTGGAGCCACTTGAGGTGCCATCTTACACCTATAGGATTGTTATTTTGGAGGAATTTCTCCACTAGAACATTTTTTTATACTTGATTCTATTCTGACTTCTCTGTTTTTTAGAAACAGATAAATTTGCCACTGGATGTTCCATTTTTATTTCTGGCTTATCTGTTTCATGATTTTTTTCTTTTGTTTTCCTTCTCCTACAAGGAAAGTGTACTATCCAGAGAGTTTGAGAAACCATGCCTTTAAATTAACTTAAATGCTGAGTTCTACAGAATTGGAGAAAATTGATTGTTTCCTTGTATTTCACAGACTGTATCCTTTTAAGTGACTTCTCAGAAATAACTTCATTTGCAATCTGCAGAGACTCATGTTCCTGCATCTGTGCAATGACTGCGGGGTTTGGATGCAGTATGCCACAGGGCCCTCACTAGTAATTGGTGACAGAAGCAGCAGTAGCCTCTGAGGATGGGAACATGAGTTAAACCCTCCTTAGTGCTCGTGGTGCATCACCTCCCTCAAGTGTAGCCATTTAATTGGGTGTTCAGTTTTATAGCCTGCATCCGCCTCTCCCTCCTTTTCTTGTATTGTTACTGTTTTCAAATGAGAAGTGTGGAAGGTAAGTTCTTGTTTTGTTTTTTTTTTAATTGTACTTAGATAGCAACCTTAACAACCAGCAGTGTGGTGCATCTGTGCCAGTTGCTATTGTTCTTGGGGTAGATAAAGAACCTGAGCCCTGTGGGTAGTAAGTAGTGGGAAAGCAAATCCCACATCATGTTCTTTAGATTAAATTAAATGTAAGTTTCTTTTTAAAAATACCATTTTGTTTAGTTGTTAAAACCTGTCGCATTTGCTAAATAGAGTTATTTATGAAACATGCAAGCAACCAAAGTGCATCCTTTCCCAGTTAGGCCTGACATGAGAAGGTCTGCTGATTAGCTGAAGGGTTTTTATTTTATACGTAAAGAAAATATTTTTGGAAAGAGTTTTTTTAGTAATTTTAGATATTTCTAGCCAGCTACTTAGGAGTAGTGGTTAATGTTAATGATCTATATCATAGTTGACGAAACGAGTGGTATCCAAGAACCCCAGTGGAGTTTTACACCAACACATAGAGTTTTAATGGAAACAAAACTCCCTGTCCTGACAAGCCTGGCATTCATGAACGTGTAACTTTACAAAGTTAGGTTACTCTGGAGGCCCTGTGGTTCTCAAACGTACCTTTGCTGACTTAGAGTTCTGTGTTGTTCAGTGAAGAAGAACACAGCACTAGGCTTTATGTTGCCTTGAAAGATGTGCAAGTTTCGGGCTGTTTGGTAGTTTCCTCTTGCTAACCTCCCATGTACTTGGGTGTCTTGTGGTCAGATGGTGCCCTCTTGTGGCACTTAGGTAAGATCTTATAGGATAGCACAGACACTTGACCTTCTAAATAGTGAGGCCATCTGCAGGTCCCCAATAAAAAACCAACATTTATGTCTTTTGCTGATCCAATTTCAGTTAAAATTCTTTCAAACTTTGAACAGATTCATTCTCCAAGTTTTAAGTGTTGTTTGGTTTAGACCTGTTGTAACTGTGTTTTTACCACCCCAGATCTTAGTGGAATCTCAGAAATTAGCCCTGCCCAGACAGAGAGTGGTAACTAGAATGGGGAGTAGAGTTTATAGTAGTGTAGGGGCCAGAGGACCCTGAAGTTACCCATCTGGGTACCACAGCCTGCAGTTCCTGCACCTGTAAAATGCCCTCTGCCTGTGAAACTGTGAGCAGTTAGTGTGCTCTATTAAAATGGTCTTTGTTTAGTTTACTACATTAAGAACGTTTTGATATTTCACTCACTAGAAGTACGTTGTCTTCCTTTAAAATGTGTTACAATATTAATGAAGCAATCTTGCATCTCATTTGTTAAAGTGATTCTTACCTATATTTTTGTACTTAATATGGACCATAAGCAGAGGGATTAAATATGTAAGTTTATGCCTTTTCTTTGAAAACAAAACTGAAAATAAATGCTATGTAAGAGCAGGGATTTCAAAATGTTACCTCTTTGTTGGCAGATTTTTCTTGAATAAAAATGCTTGTGTCAAAAATTCAAACATTTCTCCCCACCCCCCGTCCCCCTTTTCAGTTCTAGGTCTCGTTCCAGATCATATTCTCCAGCTCATAACCGAGAGAGAAATCACCCAAGAGTGTATCAGAATCGGGATTTCCGAGGTCACAACAGAGGCTATAGAAGGCCCTATTACTTCCGTGGGCGCAACAGAGGCTTTTATCCGTGGGGCCAGTATAACCGAGGAGGCTATGGAAACTACCGTTCGAATTGGCAGAATTACCGGCAAGCATACAGTCCTCGTCGGGGCCGTTCCCGATCCCGGTCCCCAAAGAGAAGGTCTCCTTCACCAAGGTCCAGGAGCCATTCTAGAAACTCGGATAAGTCTTCCTCTGACAGGTCAAGGCGCTCCTCATCCTCTCGTTCTTCCTCCAACCACAGCCGAGTTGAATCTTCTAAGCGCAAGTCTGCAAAGGAGAAAAAGTCCTCTTCCAAGGATAGCCGGCCATCTCAGGCTGCCGGGGATAACCAGGGAGACGAGGCCAAGGAGCAGACGTTCTCTGGAGGCACCTCTCAAGATACGAAAGCATCTGAGAGCTCGAAGCCATGGCCAGATGCCACTACATACAGTGCTAGTTCTGCATCACGGGCCTCGGCAGTTTCCGACCTGAGTCCCCGGGAGCGAAGCCCTGCTCTCAAAAGCCCCCTCCAGTCTGTGGTGGTGAGGCGGCGGTCACCCCGTCCTAGCCCTGTGCCAAAACCCAGCCCTCCACTTTCTAGCACATCCCAGATGGGCTCAACTCTGCAGAGTGGTGCTGGGTACCAGGCTGGGACACACCAAGGTCAGTTCGACCATGGCTCTGGGTCCGTGAGTCCATCCAAAAAGAGCCCTGTGGGTAAGAGTCCACCGGCCAGTGGCTCCACGTATGGCTCGTCTCAGAAGGAGGAGGCTGCTGCTCCAGGAGGAGCAGCCTATACAAAGAGGCAAGTATCTTGTTTCTCCTGCCTAGCTGTGTTTTTATCTCACCAGCTGGCAGTTTAATTGTAATGCGATCTAAGTTAGAACTCTGATTAATGGTAATAAGGTAACCCCCATTTCCTAAACTTTCCATTAGCAATCTTTAAAAGCATCACCTAAGGAAACCTTTAGCTTAACTCTAGCTTTCCTACCTTCCTGAATTTGTATTGCAGCATAAAGTTTCTTTAGACTACTCTGCAATGATGTTTTCACATTTAAAATTTGCCTTGGATTCTACCAATGTAAGCCAGAGAACAGTAGAGATTTGTGGGTCAGCTATCAAAAAATTATGGTCTTTGCCAAAGTGAATGGCCATTGGAGCTGTTAGACCCTCTAGGACCCACCATCTGTTGTGATCGATCTACATCAGCCCATCATGGTGAAGAGCTGCACCCTCGCATCCTCATACCCTCCAGTTGAGGAGACTGGGCAGAATGGGAAAGTCCAAGGCTTAGTCCAGGAAGGCCTTATTTTAAAATCGCAAGGTGGGTGCATGTCCCAGTAGAAGCCAACCAGGCTGCGTGTTAGGAGAGGACGTGACAGTGCTTCCGTCTTTCTACCCTGGGGGACATGGTGAGTTGGAACCTGAATCTTTGTTTGTGTCGTTGGATGGATTGGGATGGCAGAGACCTAACAGGGACGTTGCACTGGGACCAGGTTGTCAAGAGGGACTTAACCGAGCAAGTGGTTTCCTTTTTTCTTTCTTTTCTCTTGTTAGTATGTTCTTTGATGCCCTGCTGTCCCTTGATTCTTCTTTGCCATGTTAATATGCAACTGTGACTTGATTAGGCTTTCTCCATTAATGATACAAGTGAGATGTTCAGAATCTGTACTTTCCAGCCTTGAGTAAGTCTATCTTAAATAGAAGTTTTGTTCCTTGCCAGGACTGTGAATCTCATTAGACAACTCGGGCGTGAGTTCTACTTTTCCATGAGAAAGAGTAGGATGATTTTTACCCCCTTCCCCCAATTAACATGTATTTTGTTTTTATTTGTGTTTGCAGTACATTTCATATTTAGATCTTCTAGGTGACTTGAAGCAAATTTGAAGTCTCTTTTGAGACTTATATTTCCAAGTGTGAGTTGTATAAAAGCAAAACAGTCCAAGGTTGAACATTCTATGTTAACTTTGCTGAAAGCAGATTTTAAGTGACTGAGTGAAGGTTGGATAAGACCTTAATTTTTTTTTTCCTAGACCACTCACAGGTAAGTAGGTTTTTGTTTTTTAGTATCCTAAAAATTACCTTTATTATTTTCTTTTTGGTTGCTTTTGTAAGACACAACTCTATGGACCATGTATTTTTCTCTTAAATGCCAAGTTCATAGATCTGTGAAGGGCAGGTTTTCAGAAATCACTTGAAGGTAACCAAGTAGAAAGTCCTTTGGTAACACTGGAATCCACAAGACATGTTTGTTCAGAGAATGAAAAACCCAAGACCATATGGTGCTGTTTTAGATCAGGTTTCCTAAGAAGCCTCTTGTGTGTCTCCCTTATGTTTTTATAATTAGGTATCTAGAAGAGCAGAAGACAGAGAATGGAAAAGATAAGGAACAGAAACAAACAAATACTGATAAGGAGAAAATGAAAGAGAAAGGGAGCTTCTCTGACACGGGCTTAGGTGATACGAAAATGAAATCTGATCCATTTGCTCCCAAAACTGACACTGAGAAGCCTTTTCGGGGTAGCCAGTCTCCCAAAAGGTATAAGCTCCGAGATGACTTTGAGAAGAAGATGGCTGACTTCCACAAGGAGGAGATGGATGATCAGGATAAGGACAAAGCTAAAGGGAGAAAGGAATCTGAGTTTGATGATGAACCCAAGTTTATGTCAAAAGTCATAGCAGGTGCAAACAAAAACCAGGAGGAGGAGAAGTCAGGCAAATGGGAGGGCCTGGTGTATGCACCTCCAGGGAAGGAAAAGCAAAGAAAAACAGAGGAGCTGGAGGAGGAGTCTTTCTCAGAGAGATCCAAAAAGGAGGATCGGGGAGGGCCCAAGAGGAGTGAAAGTGGCCACAGGGGGTTTGTGCCTGAAAAGAATTTCCGAGTGACAGCTTACAAATCAGTCCAAGAGAAAAGCTCATCGCCTCCACCGAGAAAGACCTCTGAGAGCCGAGAGAAGCTAGGCGCCAAAGGAGACTTCTCCACGGGGAAGTCTTCCTTTTCTATTACTCGAGAGGCCCAGGTCAATGTCCGGATGGACTCTTTTGATGAGGACCTTGCAAGGTGAGATGTCGTCCTTGATCCTCAGGGTTTTTTAGTGGTGTCTCCTAATCTTTCTCCCTGAGGGCATTCTGGAACCAGGACAGGCCCCTCCTGTGTTTCCCCTGCTGTCCAGGTCTCAGTGCTGATGCCTTCATGTCGACCGGTTCTCAGAGGCAAGTGTGTGGCACTGAGTGATTATGTGTTGGAGTCAGTCTCACATGGGTAGTGAAACATCCTTTCAGTCTTTAGTGACTGGCTTTGTCGCTGCTGGGTGCCCTCTGTCCATCACCGCTGCAGTGCCACCCCCACCGCCCCAGTCATCCTGCTGCTTCCTAAATGTGCTTAAGGTTGAAGTCTTTTGTCAGTGGAGCCATCCAGGATCCATTTCTCCATTGTTAGCTAGGTCACCAGAGTCTGTTATTTATTCTATCAAATGATGTAGCAATTTTAGAGTTGGGGCTGGTGGGAGAACTTTAGGAAAGGGTGGTGAGGCCCAGGCTGACTGTTTCTTACTTGGTGTAAAAACTGTGCAGCCAATTGCAAGTCTGCCTGAGCAGCATTCCAGCCATATCCCACTCCTGCTTCATTGTGTCACTTCACTGGTTGGCCCTGGCTGGCCAAGCCAGTTGATCTTTTGAAAATACCTTCCCACTTGTTTTGTGTGTTAAAACCAGCAGTTACCCCAAAAACAGTCACTGAGGTTTAACGCTTCATCCTGCCCATTTATTCCTATTAAAGATTCCCAGTAAAAGGGAGAGAGAGATTTTGGATGCCTTTTTCCATGGTTATGGTGTACTGAGGTTACTTTGAACTTTGATAGGAAGAAAAAAAGGAACTTGGTGGATAAATGAAAAACTCTTTGGAAAAAAATGCATTGGATCTTTAAGGTTTAAATGTTCTGACTTTCTGTATATCTTACTACATTGGGCCTCCCTGTGTGTCATTTGCAGACCCAGTGGCTTATTGGCTCAGGAGCGCAAGCTTTGTCGGGATCTCGTCCATAGCAACAAAAAGGAACAGGAATTCCGTTCCATTTTCCAGCACATACAGTCAGCTCAGTCTCAGCGGAGCCCCTCGGAACTGTTTGCCCAGCATATAGTGACCATTGTTCACCATGTTAAAGGTGAGTCCAAACCCAGCCTGCTCAGGCTCCCTTCCCACACACTTAGCTTCCTCTATTACAAGCAGAAAGATGAGTGGGTGAAGAAGGGAGCCTTTTGGGGCCCTTTATCTCCTTGAAAGGGCCTTTGAAGCTAGGGACTGGCTTGAAGGAAATTCCGTCCAGGAGGAGGAGTTTTCCTTTTTTAGTTATACTGCTGAGTATTTTGAAATGCTGGTAGTAACCTGTAATTGTGAGAATAGGTAAAATCCTTCCCATGAAGATTTAAAACGCTTGAGAAAGGAGGTATGAAACGTGGCATTTGCAACACCTCTGTCTTTTCCTGTCTCGCAAATGGAAGCCTCTAGAGATCTCTTGTAGACCTTGTGGCTTGGATTTCTTCCCCACGTTATTTTACCATCTCCGGGGCACATGGAAGTGGGTGAGTTTAGGGAATGGCCAAGAGAAGATGATGTAGTAGCTCGTTGGGCCAGTTACCGGTTCCATCTGAGATTTAAACTCAGGCAGGAATTGATGCTTTGATTCAAAGGCTAGTAAACGTCAGGTGTCTTTGTATCCATGTCCTAAGATAAGGGAGCTACGGTGGAAATCCAGTGCCCAACATTGGGTTTTGTCTGAACCAGCTTTTTTTCCGTCCTCTTTTCTATGTTTTATGGCTTTGACTACTTTCATCTCATCTGTGTGGCTGCAGATTCATGCGGAAGAGTTGTATATTGTGTCTGCCTTTGATAGCCTAATGTGTTTTCCTTTGACTTCCCACAGAGCATCACTTTGGGTCCTCAGGAATGACATTGCATGAACGCTTTACTAAATACCTAAAAAGAGGAACTGAGCAAGAGGCAGCTAAAAACAAGAAAAGCCCAGAAATACACAGGTGAGGACTTCAGCCTTAACCGGAGATGATGATAACAGACTGCTCATCAGATACGAAACTTGTATTGTTTTTGCCATGTTAGGTGTATTAGCAACAGGATTTAGGGTAACATCCTCCAGATTGTAGGATAGCAAGTGGGCGTCTAGTTGTGCGTGGAAAGGGCGTGCTTCCGTGACTGCGAACTTCTCACCTTGGAAAGGGTCTGAGGAAAACGGCTGTTTTTATATAGATGAGCCCTTGTATTCTTGGGAGGTGGCCCGCAGCAACCTGGGAGCACTGGGAGCTGTTGTAGGTAGAGTAAGTGTTAAGTTTCTTTAAGCATCCCATCTATTTGATATATCAGTTCTTCTTCTGGAAGAATTTGCAGTGGGTAGGGGCTGGGGGTAGGGGAGCTTGTAGGATTCTATCAAAGGTTTTAAAAGCCCGGAAAATTTAAAGAATTTCACATTTGGTTGTGGGAGTCTACTTAGCAAATAGGGACTTTGTCTAGAAACAAAGTTGGCCTTATCTTTTTAATTCCTTATTAGTCAGCTCTTGAACCTGTTGCCATAGGTAGGAGAACCATGTTTGTCCAACAGTCTTGGATTTAGGGTCTTTGGGGATGTGTGCACATGCCAGGTGGTTGTTTCTGACTTAGACCTAATGTCATAGGTGAATAATGAGCCATTATATTCTAATTCCCAAGATGAGAACTGCGCTTGGGGTTTAGCAGAGCATACTCTTGTGTGAACTTGAGATTATAGGCATGGCTGTGTGTGAGTCTGTCTTCCTGGCTGTAACAGTACAGGGAGGGAATAAGAAGTTTCTTCAGTATGAGTTTGACTGAGAAGTTGAGATTTTGTGTGTGTGCGCACGCACGTGCGTGCCTATGGGAAAATATAAATATATAAGCAAAGGGTGTAAGTAATATATATGTACGTTATGAAACGTAATAAAAAGGAATGCCTGTGATTCCGTTACCCAACTTAAGAGCTAAGGTATTACTAGTACTATGTTCACAGTGTGACGTTTTAAACAGTTTTTGTGTTTTCGATTTTAGGAGGATAGACATTTCCCCCAGTACATTCAGAAAACATGGTTTGGCTCATGACGACATGAAAAGTCCCCGGGAACCTGGCTACAAGGTGAACTGTTGCTTTGATCAGTAATTCCAACAAAATGAGTGCGTTGGGCATGAACTTGACAGAAATGTGTTTGTTTAAATTACTCTCTACTTAAGTTTGTGTTTTTCTTTTAAGGATGGGCATAATTCTAAAAATGAACTACAAAGGGTTAATTTTTATTAAATGTATCAACAACCTTTGTGAAGTGGTTAGAATATGGTAAATGACCCCAAAGTCTATTGAGGTGAGCTTGAGAAAAAAGAGAGGAGTTTTGGAACAAGTGCCCATGATGAGAGAAGAAACTTTTTGTGATATTTTTCTGCTTGTAAGTATTATCAAATCAACTATATACATGCACTATTTCCAACCATGATTTCAAAAAGACATGCATGTCAGAGCAGAGTAAAATATTCATATCTTAACTTCGTAGACTGTTTTGAACAGCTAGTCCAGTTTTTTCCTAACATTGTACCATATCTGTCATCTCTCGGTTACTGTTACTTTAAAGCTAAACATGACTTTGATAGCCCAGCTACATTTGCTATGATGTGCACGTAAACACTGTTATTAAGAGGTTAAAACTTGTATGCAATCTTTAACTATGAAATACTAGATTTGGGTTTTTTAAAATCTTAGTATTTATTGACCTTCATTCACATATACAGTTGAAATTTAAAATTAGAGATGGCTCCTCCGATGCTGCTGAAACGTTTTCTAAAAATATTAATCTTAAAGTTTTCCAAACAAATTTGTCTTGTTAGTTGAATGTGATGAGAGGCCCTCTTGCACAATCTCTCTTCTCTCCCATCCCCCTTTTCTTTTTCTCCAAGTACCCACCAGCTTGGGAGTAACCATGTGAAACGCACGTTTTTGAAACATCAGAAGAGATCTCGTCCTCTGTGCCTCACAAAGCCAACTCCTTAGAGGTGCTGTCTGCACTGCCCAAGGGAGCAGCGGCCACGTTTCTCTCTGTCTTTGGAGGGTGCAGAGGCCCCGTTCCCTCTCTCAAAAACAAACAGCTTGATAAGATAAACCTACTTCTACCTACCACTCCTGTTAATTAAAATTAAACTTTATTTCACCAAAAACCTTAGTTTGTGTAAGTAAGATGTTCATACAGAGTGAACTGCTCATTCCTTCCTCTTAGATTAGGGACATTTTACTTCCACGAGACAAGACCTAGTGTATAATGTCCTTAAGCACCTTGCATCTCTACCCTCACTGAGTTTCCTGAGGACTGTTGAAAGCCCTTGCCCTGATGGTTTGGGGTGGAAGCCTCTTGATGCTGCTGGGCTCGTACTGTGTCTGCAGCATACATACCCTGATAGTTACACTTCCTAGGAAGTGAGTGAAAAAGATTTTTTTTTCTTCTTCTTTTTTTTAACAGTAAACTTTGACCTGGCATTGCCATTTTCTGAATGCTCTGTTATGGTTTTTGATATGCTCTCTCTAGAGAAGTTTCTCAATATAACTAAGCATTTTGGAGGTCTCCTTAAGTTTCTCATTGTCTATCTTTGGACTCAGTAGAGGATGAGCCCCAGGTGGCTATTCCAGCGCAGGTAGGGGAAGGATAACATGAACACTTCCACTCTTGGTGGTGGCTGAGCCGGAGCCAGCCTAACCAGCCACCTTCCAGAGCTGGTTTTGGCTTTCTCAACTTCTAAGTTAGCCAGTCGTTACTGGGCTGCAGAGGAAACAATGCGAGATCAGTATAGAGCGTTTCCAGAAGGTGGTCGTCATCATCATGTTAGAGAACTGGTTTGGGCTCTGTCAGGGATCCTTATGAAGTGACTTCTGTGGGGCATCCTGTGTCCCTCCCAGGCTTGGGTGAGGTGCCACACACTCCCAGTGCTTCCTGTGTACCACTCCATGGCAGTAGAAACCACAGTTTGTGGGGTGGTTGAGTTGGCAGCTGTGGGTCACAGAAACCTTAATTTTGATTTCTCTTTTGGCAGGCTGAGGGAAAATACAAAGATGATCCTGTTGATCTCCGCCTTGATATTGAACGTCGTAAAAAACATAAGGAGAGAGATCTTAAACGAGGTAAATCAAGAGAATCAGTGGATTCCAGAGACTCGAGCCACTCGAGGGAAAGGTCAGCTGAGAAAACAGAGAAAACTCACAAAGGATCAAAGAAGCAGAAGTACGTGACCCCTGTCTGTCCCCTCGTTCCGACTCCTGAGTGGAGTCTCTTGCCTGATCCCTTTTGGCTGCACACCAGAGCTTTGAGGTTAGGGATGATAGCAACGTGGGCAGTTTCTTCTCTTATACCATGTCACTGTCAAGTGAGGTCTTGAGTGTGAAAACAGAACTTCTGTGTGAAGTAGGTGTGGTCCTTGTCAGAGAGGCCTCCTGGGAGGTGGCATTAATGGGGCTGTGAGGACAGCGTGAGGAATCATTTGGGAATTCCTTCTGCGGTTCTTCAGACGTTCCTTGTTCATCGCAAGTCTTCATGGGGAGGTGCTGTGTTAGAAATGGCTCGAAGTCCTTGTCAGGTAATAACGCTGTTTAGTCAGAGAAGCAGGGTGGAACTAGATAGGACGAGATTGTTGGTCTTAAACGCCTTCTGAACTAGTTTCACAGACACTTCCAAGAGAGGTGTTCCAAGTATTCTCTAAACAAAGGGAGCATTGTTGAACTTCATAGGGAAGCGTGCATGCCAGGGTGCTGTCGTTTCTGTTTACGTTTTTGAAAGTTGCATGACTCTTCAGTCGGGTCTTGTTCAACGTGGCAGGTTGCGGCCCCACACCTTTCCCACAGAAGCGGCACCCCTTCTTCTGCTGTGGAACTTCAGCTGGCAAGCATTTTCCTAGGCATTTTTTGATAACAATTCTTTGAGATAAGTTGGACAGTTATTGTGATACTGATTTTGCCAATTGAAAGATAAAGAAGCTAAGTTCAGAACGATTTGTCTGAGATTACACAAGTATCGGTGACATCAGAACTCAGATCTTCTGTTCCAGTTTATCTCCCCTTCCACCGTGTTACTTCTGCATAAGGAGCCATAGCAGCTTTCAGGGCTGCCCACAGATAGAGGACGTGCTGATCCCCACTGGGGAATGAAAGTGGTGGGACAGTGGTCCTCAGCACTGCCCCTGGTGGAAAGCAGGCAGAAGCCCTGAGCATTTCAGGGTTGGGTGTGGATTACTTACCCTGGTTCCTTTCCCTGGAACACATGCATCTGCCTCTGACTCGCTGTGTAACCTTGAACAAGTCTCTTGCAACCCTAGTATTCTGTGATTGAGGCAAGAAGAAAAATGCTCCTTATGTCCTTGTTGTCGTTATGTATCACATTCACTTCACAAGAACTCTTTCTCATATGACTGAAGAATGACTTAACCCAAGGTCACACAGGTAATAAAAGGCAATGCTGGGACTCAAATCTGGGGCCTTTTGGAATTTTATTTTTGAAAACCTCTTAAAAGAGCATTGATTTCTAGGAGTCAGAATTAGACATCTAAGTTATAAGAATCCTATGACATGAACTCAGATTTATCCTTTTTATGAGTAAATGCTAGGAAACACCAACATGATTCACATATTTAAGTTCTCGAGCTTCTCCTACGTATGGAGGTGGGAGGAAGGGCGCAAGGTGCTTTTCATAATGGAGCAGGATTGTGGGAAGGGAGGACCCAAACGATAGGTTATTGGTTGGCTTCTCCCTGTAAGTCCTTCTTTACTCCTGGGACCTTGGCCTTCCTGCCACCTTAGAGGCAGCCGGTAACCTCCTCCACTACCACATGGCAGGGCTGGCCCCGACCTCTAGTATGTAGGCAGTGACTCATCATATTAGTGTAGTTTGCCATAGACTATAAGTTCCCCCCAGGTGAAGGGAAGGGCTAGGGAAATAACTCTGGGAAGAGTTTCGCTAGATCCCGTGCTTCATAACACAACCCGTTGGGGCCACTGGAAGGTGGTGTGTGGAGTAGTGGCGTAATTAGTCAGAGTTAGGTTTGAATCCAGGTTCTGCTCAGCTTTGTCATCTGACTCTCCTATCCATAAAATGGAGGAAATAATACTGAGTAATCATAGTTGCCATTTACAGTATGCCTGCTATGTCAATGTCAAGTGTAAGCATATTGTTTTTTTAATCTTTAGAGCAACCCCATGAGACAGGTATTGAGAAGTAAAAGGAACATAAAGCACAAGCAGATGGTAATATATAAAGCTTCTGTCCCAGTACCAGATACATCATGGCTCTCAGTACAGTGCTAGTTTCCTTCTGCCCTTCTGATTCATGCATGTGTGTTAGACTGAGCTACCAGAGGCCGTGGACTGTGCTTTGTTCCTCTTGTCTATGTCCTGCGTTCATCACAGGCTCAGACATAGATCTGTCACTGAACATGACTGACAGAACTGGGAGGAAGCTCCCCAGGTACCCTGGGTGGATAAGTTGGGGGCAAGTTGGATTTTCTTAGGTTACTTGTCTTCAATATCTTCATCACAGACGCACTCCTCATTGCCCATGCTGCTTATCCATGAGGCCCCACCCAAGGGCTGAGCCCCTAGAGGCTTACTGGTTTCCTTGGCTCTTCTGTTTTCATAGGAAGCACCGGAGAGCACGAGACCGGTCCAGGTCATCATCCTCTTCCTCCCAGTCATCCCGTTCCTACAAGGCGGAAGAGTACACTGAGGAGACAGAGGAGAGAGAGGAGAGCACCACGGGCTTTGACAAATCAAGACTGGGGACCAAAGACTTTGTGGGTCCAAGTGAAAGAGGAGGCAGAGCTCGAGGGACCTATGTAAGACCCTGTCCCTTCCCCCTTTCTCTAAGCCCCTGCTCCTACCAGTTCTAATTTTCTGTTTATCAGAATACCAGTTTTGTTGCCCTCGATACAAGTAGTCAGTCTCTAGGCCTCAGAATCTGTGGCTCCCCATTCCCCAGGTTTTCCATTTTTAGTTATAATTGCTTGGCCGGAAAGCCTCTGAGGGCTTCTGGTCTCAGGATGTCCCACCTTTTTTCTTTTTCTTTTTTTTTTTTCCTGAGGACGATTAGCCCTGAGCTGACATCCATGCCAGTCTTCCTCCACTTTATACGTGGGTTGCTGCCACAGCATGGCTGATCAATGGTGTGGGTCCACGCTTGGGATCCGAATCTGTGAACCCAGACCACAGAAGCGGAGCACGCTGAATCTAACCACTCTGCCATGGGGCTGGCCCCCCAGTTATCTTGACCGTGCAGTATGTAGGGAATCCATGTGCCATGTTGTCCGCTGTCTAGGCTGTATACTTATGTTGAGATGAGCAGAGGGAATGGCTAGAAACCAGTTGACGAGGATATTGATTGAGGGCAACTATCTATTCTGTGCCAGAAAAGTGTTTGATCAGAATGCAGGGAGGTGTTTTCCTCCATTCCTGACATGGTGTTTTATTCCCTTTCCCTGTTTACTGCCACAGCAATTTCGAGCCAGAGGGAGAGGCTGGGGTAGAGGCAACTACTCTGGTAACAACAACAGCAGCAGCAGCAACGATTTTCAAAAGAGAAACCGGGAGGAGGAGTGGGACCCTGAGTACACGCCCAAAAGCAAGAAGTATTACCTGGTATGTGTGTGGGGCTAACCAGGAAGGGCCAGAGGGCTTTTTGGCGCACACCGTGGCTGATGCTGAGGCCTTACTTGGTCTGTCCAAAACTGTGCTTAAATACTCAGGCAGTCATATTGAGCTGGGAGGATGGGCGCTTGTGGGACACACTGGGATGTGGGATGAGTGTTCTCTAGAGAGGTGGCCCTGGCCTTGAGAGGGTTGATCGTCTAACATGTTTATGGATTTCAGGATAGATAAGCAGCAAGGGTGGTTCTTGTCCTTTTAGTCTGTAAACTTGTTTTACTGCTCACCCAACTTCAGCTTCCTTCCAGCCTTTTCCCAGAGATGGAGCCATAACCTTCCCCTGAGGCCACAGCTCCTCTCTGTTGCTCCCCAGTGCAAGAGTGACAGGAAAGCCATTTCAGGATCTCTTTTTGAAGAAGAGATTAGGGCGTCTTTCATCTAGGGTGTTGGTCATTCCTAGGTACCGGGCACCTTCTGGGCCTCTTGCCCTGTCTCAGGTTGGGGCTTTTCTAGGCTGAATTACCTGGCCAATGAGTGAGCTCTCCTGGCCTCCTGTGTCCACAGCAGGTTCAGATCCAAGTAAATGTGACTCTTGAGTGTTGTAACCGGGGTGAGCTTGGAGCTGAGTCTCCATCCCCCACAAGAAGGGCTGGCGTGGGTCTCTGGTGCGAGTTGCACGGCTAGGAAACAGGTTGTTGGGTAGACGACTGTGCATGGCCACCTTTGCTTTTCTAGGGCTGCTGGGAGCTGCTTTTGAGACTCCTAGAGGACCCTAGAACCTATGTCTAGGGAAATGTTGGTGGCTGAGCCCAGGATAAGTGCTGGAGTGGGACTGCTTTAGGGGAAGGGATTAAAGGTCATACAAAGCCCTTTTTCCTGCCCGTCTGCCACCTGAAGAGCATCGCCGACCTGATTCATTTAGGCTGGTGAGCAAGCATCCCTGATAAGCAGCAGCTGGCTCTTCAGCTGAGCTGACCCCTAGAAGCCTGAGGTCCTACTTGTGTGGGTGGATGGTTTAGACTCTTTGGGGCTATGGAGCTGATGAGGTAACAAGGACAGCGACTTCTGGTTTTCATAGTGCTGTCTTGTTCCTTCTTTCATTGGACCCCTCCTCTCGTGAGATCGTCAGAGCAGGGATTGTCTGAGACATGTGTAGGTTGTGTTCTACTCTGCCACACTGCCTCCTTGCATAAAACTAAAGAAGGGAGAGGCAAGACAGGAGGCTGGGTTGTGGTCCTGCCTGTGCCACTGACTAATCTAAGACCGTGAGCAGATAGGTCATCTGCCCTTGGTCTCACTGCCTGTTCTTGGCTGAGGGTGCGGAGAGTCAGGGAGAGCTGGAGCCCCAGCTGTGCATTCTGAGTGTCGCTTCCTCTGTTGTGAGCTACCCGACATCCCAGATGAGACAGAGTTTCATGTTTTGGTGGATTGGCTCTCTCAAACCCATCTTTTGAGAGATGAGTATAGTAAATAATATGGACCTGCTTCAAGTTCCTAAGCCTGTTTCCTCATTTGCATAGTGGAGGGTGATAATGATAGGGTAGATGTCAGGATTAAATGAAAGAATGCATGTGAAGCTCTTCCAGTGCTTGGTTAGGGTTTTATCGTCGTCATCATTGTTATAATGCCCGAGCTACTGCCTTAGAATTCCTAAGGCACCGAACTGAATATTCTCATGGATCTGAATCAGTAGCAGTTTTGGAGTAGGGGAGAGGGAGGAGGACAGAAAAGGAGCAAAAGGTGGGTTGCGGCATAGATTTGTTTGAAAAAGTCTCATTTGGGTGGGAGTAGAAAAGGTTCTGGCTACTCTCCTTCATTCTGGCTGGCATTGATGGCCGCTTTCTTTCCTCAGCATGATGACCGCGAAGGCGAAGGCAGTGAGAAGTGGGTGAGCCGGGGCCGGGGCCGAGGAGCCTTTCCCCGGGGACGGGGCCGCTTCATGTTCCGGAAATCCAGCACCAGCCCCAAATGGGCCCATGACAAGTTCAGTGGGGAGGAAGGGGAGATTGAAGATGATGAGAGTGGGACAGAGAACCGAGAAGAGAAGGACAATTTACAGCCCACAACCGAGTAGGGGCCACTGATGGGAGCCCCTGCCCAGGGGAGAGAGGCGCCGGGAAGATGGCTGGTGAGGAGCTAAACAGAGGAGCCTCGAGAAGATTCTGAAAATCCCACCCCCACCCCCCACTGGCCGTGCGGAATCCTATAGCCAAAAGCATCCCTGGCGCTGCGTCCCACTGGACAGAGGCGGCAGCCGCAGAGCCTGGGGGCAGGCCCAGCTCTTGAGCAGAACACAACACGTTGGGCTTTAGCTGTGTTTCTCATTTGTCGTTGGTGTGTGGGGTGGGGGCTGGGGTAGGGAGGGAAGAGCGAGTCTTGGATTTTGGTTTGTTCCCTATTAGAAACCAACAGTTTTGTTCTTAATTTCATTTCCTTTGGAGCTAAGAGGACTTATTTGATGATTTTCAATCTCTTCTCCCTTATCCTGATTTTAAAAGCCCTTCTTCTTCTTTTTTTAGGCATATGTAGTAACATGAGCAGAAAGATTTAATTTGGGCAACTTTGATTCTTAAAAAAGAAAACAAAGCATGTGAATAAACATTGAAGTGTTCACCTCAGTTTGGGACCAAACTGCTTGGATCTTTGTAAAAATCGGTTTTGTATGTCGAGGAGGAGTTCAGGGCCTTTCTGACCACCTTGTGTTCCCCTTTTCTGCGCAGCCATGTATCCCATGGTGTTGCTCCTGACCACACCCCATGTGTGCCCCCTCCCCAGTATTTTCTGATTTCTTCTGGGCTGGGCTTCCCATTCTCCACCAGCAGCTCCAGTATCCCAAACCTTCTAGTCCTGCTGATCCTCTCAGCACCAGGGGTGGAAACTGGACAGCAGTTTCTGGTCTGTTTTCTAAGAAACTTCTGAATTCTATTATCTTTACAAATATAAGATGAAAAAAATAATTTTTTCAATATTTTTTATTAATCTTTTTATAAAATGAAAAGAAACTCCTATGATCGATTAAGGAAGGTGGTTATGGCTGGGTGGTTTGTGGGGTTTTTTGGTTTTGTTTTTTCTTTTCCTTTTTTTTTTAACCTTAAGCTTTAAGTTGAAACATTCTCAGATGTTTGGGGGGAAAACATCCTCTTAAAATGGGTCCTTGTGCTTGCCTTCTGGGGAGGCGGTCCTGAGCAGGTGAATCATATGGCATCTATGCATATGTAATATGCGGACTGCACCCACCTCTTCCCCCCAGTCTTGCTTCTTGGGTTGTTGTGCTACTTTCCCCTTACTTTGCTACATTTCTATAGTTAAGTTGGTTTTACTTGAATGATTCATGTTTAGGGAAAAAAAATGAAAACACCCTTAAAATTTGTTTCAACTCCTCCTGCAAATAAAAAAATAATAAATGAAGTGGCAGATGTAAATGGGTTCTGGTCATTGTCAGCCTGAGTGTGTGTGTGTTGGGGGGAGGCGGAGCTCTCCCACAGCCGCTTCAGGGACCTGGAGAGAGAAAATGTGTGTGGGGCCTGGGCCCAGACTGCTGTTCAGCCCATCCTCCCAGCCCCACACTTGCTTCCTCTGGGAGGAACCTCAGCCGCTCCCTGTTGGCTAATAATTCCTCATTTCCATCACAGTGGTTTTGTTTCATCTTGTACCTTGGACACCCCAGGAGAACCAGATTTTTTCACTATAGTGTCATGAGCAAGGACTTCCGCTTCCAAGGTGGGGGGCAGGGGTCAAGGGGTGTAAATAATAGACTCGGCCTTCTGTGTTCACCACTGAGCAGGAGGCTTACCTGAAAGTTAGCCCTGCCCACATGGGATTGGCACTAGGTGGGCTCTGACCTTCAGCCTTTGCCAGCTCTGGGCTTGGCTGTAGGAAGCAGGAGCGGTGAAAGCTCCTCAGGTTCCTTGCTGCCTTCCCCCAAGGAGAAACCGAGGTGTTTTCTGAAACCAGACTAGGCCTGGCCACCGAAGCAAGGGTTTTGGGAGGAGGAGATGCCTCCCAGGGAAAGCAGAGTATACCAACAATAGCTTCGTGTGCACCACAGGGACTACCAGCCACCCAGGGCCGGCTCTAGAGGGGTTGCTGCCCCGTGGGGGGCCCCACCCTGCTCTGTGCCTCTCCCCACCTGTGACTCCAGCACTTGCCCTGGAGTCCTCACCCCGAGGTTGGGGGCCGAACCTGCTGAGCCGGGCCGCCCCCTCTCCCACGCCCACTCCCAGCACCTAGAGCCTGGCCTACGCTCGTGTGTCTCCGCCTCCTCTGCTTCACATTCTCGCAGCTCGTCCCACCCTACACCCGCCCAGTACTCGGCTGCCAGCGGGACCGCACTATCCTCCCCGCCTGGCTCTGAAGGGTGCCCGGCAGCCATGGGTATGTGCAGAGGGTTCAGGGCGGCTCTTCTGTGCAACCGTGTGGAAATGGTGCCAGAAGTCTACACCACCCGCGCGTTCTCCCGCTTTCCTCTACATGGAGCCCGGGACTCGCGCCGTGGCCCGTCTGCCCCGACTGGGCCCTTCTGAACCGCGCCTCCGCCCCGTCCTCCGCCCGCAGAGATGCTGGTCCTGGCCGGAGACCGCGCGCAGAAGGAGGACGAGCTGAGTCTGGCGCCCGGGGACGTGGTGCGGCAGGTGTGCGAGGGGCCCGCACGGGGCTGTCTGCGCGGAGAGCTGGGGGACCACCGTGGCCTCTTCCCCGAGCGCCTGGTGCAGGTGAGGCCGGGCCGGAGGTCGGGCTGGGGGGGTCTCAGCGCGCGCCCGCGGGAGCTGAGCGCCCCCTTTCCGGTGCCCTCGTCCCCAGGAGATCCCGGAGACTCTGCGCGGCGCCGGGGAGGCGCCGAGACCGCGCTGTGCGCGCCGCCGAGGTGAGCGCCGGGCAGGTGGGCGGGCGCGCGGGGCCCCGGCGGCCCAGTCCGCCCCCGGCTCGCCGTGACGGGCGCGGCTCTGGGCGGGGCCGCCCTGCGGCCTGTGATTGGCTCTCGAGTACAATGCTCCGCCCCGGGGCGGGGCCTGGAGGCACCGCGCCGCACGCTGGCAGCCCGCCCCTCCCTCAGCTCTGAGGACTGGCGCGCCGGGCTCAAGCGGCCTCACTCTCGTCCGACCCCAGGTCGCCCCGCCAAATCTCGGGATCCCCAAAGATGGTGCAAAGTGAACTTCAGCTACAGCCCGGAGCAGGCGGACGAGCTGAAGCTGCAAGCTGGGGAGATTGTGGAAGTGGTAAAGGAGGTGAGGGGATGAGGTGATGGGAGGGTTTGGGGGGAGATGATGGAGCACGGGTCTCCGGCTGAGGGGAGTGAGGGTGTGGGCGGTGGGGATGGTGAGGGGCGTAGAGATGGGAAGGTGAGGCAGCAGAATCCGGGCAGGACCAAGGGTGTAAGATTTCTAGAGAGACTCTTGGGGCAGAACCAGATGCCCCTCCGTCCTCCCTCCTCCCCAGATTGAGGACGGCTGGTGGCTGGGGAAGAAGAACGGGCAGCTGGGAGCCTTCCCATCCAACTTTGTGGAGTTGCTGGACTGTGGGCCCCCAAGTGAGACCTGGACCCTGTGACCCCCTCAACCCCTGTGACCAGACTCTGCGATCTGCAGTGATCAGTGGCCTGAGCCTGTGATTCTCTCATCCTGACCCTGGGACCCCTTTGACCTCTCCCATGATCTAAACTGTGAATTGGCACCCCCCCCTAACCTCACTATCCCCCACCAGGCCTTGGTAACCCAGACATGCCTTCAATCAGCCCTGGTCCCCAGCGGCCTCCCAAGGTAAAGTGGGTGGAGTGGGCACAGGGGTGGTGAGTCCCTCTTAGTGGGGCTGGAGGCTCAGCTTGTTCCCCCCCACCCCCCGCCCCCACTAGCTGAGCAGCCTGACCTATGACAGCCCTCCAGACTACCTGCGGACAGGTAAGCACCCAGCCAAAACGTCCCTCAGAACCCCCTCCCCCAAGCCACTGTGACTGGGGGGAGGGAGATGCAGCTAGGCTGATGCAGGAGGGAGCTGCTGACTGATCTAGGGAGGGGGGGTTTGGCTTCAGTGGACTGACCTCCCCTCAGGCTCCCGCCCAGAGACCTACAGGGTCCTGTTTGACTACCAGCCCGAGGCCCCAGACGAGTTGGCGCTGCGGAGGGGGGACGAGGTGAAAGTACTAAGGAAGGTGTGAAAGGCACAGGGCATGGGAGGGCGCAGGGAAGGGCATGTTGAGAAGGGGTGGGACCCGGGAAGGAAGGGGCTTGGGGACCTGGCTCACCTCCCCAAGGCAGCTTTCTCTCCCAGACCACAGAGGATAAGGGCTGGTGGGAAGGAGAGTCTCAAGGCAGAAGAGGAGTTTTCCCAGACAACTTTGTGCTCCCACCACCTCCAGTGAGTACAGAGCTGGGTACTCAGGTGGCGGGGGCAGGCTACCCTGGACAAAGTTGGGGGTCATGGCACTCACTGGATACAGCTGGAGGGTCGCCCCTAATGAGGGTGGGCCTGGAAATGTGGCTGTTCCTCGTCGGGTTCTGATACTTCCTTTCTGCACAGATCAAGAAACTGGCCCCACGGAAAGTGGTATCTCGGGAATCAGGTGGGTGCCTGGGAAGCCTGGGTTTGGGGGGTGTTCTCTGGGAGACCCACAGCCCATAAACACTCGCAGCTCCCCAGTGGTCCAGCCCACCTCCTTAGGAGCACCTCCCCATGGGTTAAGGGCCTGGTAGAAATGTTTGTGAGTCGTCGGTGTTTGGGAACATGTCACTTTGTGTCTGTTAACATCCTTGTGTCTCTGTGTGTCTTGAGAATATGGCTATCAGCAGGTTTAGATTTGTTTCATTCTGTAAGGAAATGTGTACATCGATATGTCTGGGTCTATGATACTGTGTGTGTGTTCACATAACTAGTAAGTGCGTCAGTGAAGAGCTCTGTATATGTATCAGTGTGTCTGTAGTAATGTGTGTCCTTGCATTTACTGTTCCATGTAATATTTCACACCTGCCAAAAATCTATGTAACATTTGTATTTTAAAACTTAATAATGAACACCTGTGGTGTTCCAAAAACTAGAACATTGCCAATAGTTTGTCTGTTCCTTCTCTTTCCCATTCTGCTGCTTCCCCACACCCAAGGTAACTACTATCCTGAATTTTGTGTTTATAGTTCCCTTGAGTTTTGAAGTTTACTTACATGTGTGTGTGCCTAACCAATGTACCACTTATTTTTGCTTGTTTTTGGCTTTATAAAAATGGTATCATATGTTTATACTCTGCTAGGAATTGCTGTTTCCAATTGACATTATGTTTCTAAGATTCATCCGTGTTGTGTGCAGATGTAGTTCATTTATTTTTCTCTGCTGTATAATATTCCTTATAAATGGAATTACCACAGTTTTTGTACCCAGTCTCCTTCTGATGCTGGACATTTTCATTGTTTCTAGTTTTTGCTGTTACAAATAGTGCTGCCATGAACATTTGTGTGCCTGCCTTCCAGTGTGCAGGTATCACCATTTCTCTAGGATGTGATGCTAGGAGCGGTACTGCAAGATTGCAGGGTGTATGAATGTTCAACTTTTAGGAAATAAAATCGGATTGGTTTCCAAAGTGATTGCACATTTTAACACTCCACCACCTGTGTAGAGGAGACCCTGTTGATCCAAATCGTCAACACTTGGTGTTATCAGATTTCTCTATCTTTGTGAATCTAGTAGGTACAAAATAGCATCTCATTGTGGACTTAATTTGCATTTTCCTGGTTAGTTAGTAATAATTTGTTGGAGTTCTTTATATATTCTGAATACCGATCCTTTATGGGTTATATATCTTACAGATATTTTCTCTCAAGTTTTTGGCTTGTCTTCTTTTTTCTTTAGGATCTTTGAAGAGCAGGAATTCTTAATTTTAATGCAAACATATCAATCTTATCTTTAGTGGTGAGCAGATTTTTTCTTGTTTAAGAAATCCTTCCTGCCTCGAGTTCAGAAAGATAGTCATTTATAATGTCTTTAAAACTTTTAAAGTGCTGCCTTTCATTTTTAATTCCTTTTATCTATGTAGCATTGGTTTTAATCAGTGATGCAATTATACCGTTTTCCATGTGGACACTTAGTTGTTCCAGCATAATTTATTATTTTCTGCATGTAAGTTTTACACAACTTTTACAAGATTTATTCCTAGATACCTCAGAGTTTTTATTCTGTCTTTTTTTAAAAAAATAGATACCCTTTTATTTATTGCAGGAATACAGATATGCATTGAGTTTTGTATATTGACTTTTTGGCCAGCATGGTGCTAAACTCTGGTTATTTCCACTAATTTACCTGTAGATTTTTAATGTTTTCTATGAAGACAGTCATGTCTGTTTTAATGACAGTTTTTCTCTATCTCTTCCACTCCTTGTGCCTTTTAATTTCACTTTCTTGTTTCACTATGGTGGCTAGGATCTCAATACAATTTTGAATAGAAGTAGTGATGCTGAACATCGTTACCCTGCTCCTGATTTTAAGGAGAATGCTTCTAACTTTCCCCCTTTAACAAGGATGTTGGTTAGATCTTTCGTACATACATTTTTGTCAGGCTAAGGAAGGTCCTTTCTATTTCCAGTTTACTTAGAATTTTTGTCAAGTGGATGTCGAATTTTCTCAAATTGTTTCTACGAGTCTTTTGAAATGATATGGGTTTTCTCCTTTAATCTGTCAATGTGATGAATAACACTTGTAGATTTATTTATTTTTTTTTTGAGGAAGATTAGCCCTGAACTATCATCTGCTGCCAATCCTCCTCTTTTCGCTGAGGAAGACTGGCCCTGAGCTAACATCCGTGCCCCTCTTCCTCCACTTTGTATGCGAGACGTCCACCACAGCATGGCTTGCCAAGCGGTGCTGGGTCCACACCTGGGATCCGAACTGGCGAACCCCGGGCCGCTGAAGCAGAACATGCGCGCTTAACCACTGTGCCACTGGGCCGGCCCCTAGAATTTTCTAATATTAAGCCACCCTTGCATTCTTGGGATAAATTCAAATTGGTCATGGTTTATTATCTTTTCATATACCGTAGGAATACTTTTCCAGTTTTTCTTTTAAGATTTTTGCATTTATTTTTACGGTTCTCATCTGATTATCAGGATTATACTGGCCCGAGGAATGAGTGGAGGAGGATACATTATTTTTTTTAATTATCTGGTAGATCTTATATAAGATGGGTGTCATCTTTCCTTAAAAGTTGGTAAAACTTGCCTGTAAATTCATCTGGCCCTGTTTGTCTCCATTATGGGAAGATTTTAAACTTCTTCAATTTCTTTAATAGTTCTGGGCAAGTCTGGCTAAAATTTTGTTCTTTTTTGGCTTAAAATGACAGAAATTTAATCTCTCACGACTCTGGAGGCTAGAAATCCAAAATCAAGATGATGGCATGGCCACGTTCTCTGTGAAGGTTCTAGGGGAAGAATCTTTCCTTGCCTTTTTTTTAGCTTCTGGTAGTTGCTGGCAATCCTGGGCTTGTAGATGCACCACTCTGTTCTCTGCCTTTGTCTTCGAATGGTCTTCTGCCCTGTGTGTCTGTGTCCAACTTCCCTCTTCTAATAAGGACGCCAGTCATTGGTTTAGGGCCGACTCTCATCCAGCGCGACCTCATCTTAACCTGATTACATCTTCAAAGACCCCTTTACAACTTCTCTTCAAATGGCTTCACCTTGGGACTCAGAGGGGAAGAAATCTCACACTTTAGGAAACTTGCACAGACAGCATTCTGTCTCCTGGTCCCTGGGTAACAGTGGCTGGCCAGAAATCTGGCTAAAATTCTTTTTTTTTTTTTTTAATTTAATTAAAATTTTTTTTTAGAGATTTTTTTTTTTTCCTTTTTCTCCCCAAAGCCCCCTGGCACATAGTTGTATATTCTTCGTTGTGAGTCCTTCTAGTTGTGGCATGTGGGACGCCGCTTCAGCGTGGCTTGATGAGCGGTGCCATGTCCGCGCCCAGGATTCGAACCAACGAAACACTGGGCCACCTGCAGCGGAGCGCGTGAACTTAACCACTTCGCCACGGGGCCAGCCCTGGCTAAAATTCTTGAATCAGTTTTAATGAGTTATATTTTTTTATTATCCTTTTAATTGATGTTTTTGAATTATTTGTGTAATGTTATTCATAATATTCTGTTATAATCTGTATCTGCAGTTACAGTCTTTTTTTCATTTCTCATGTTTATTTTTTCTTTCTTTTTTTCTTGTTCAGTCTCACCAAAGAGTTGTTAATATATTTAGATACATTAGAAAAATCTTTTCTTGGGGCTGGCCCGGTGGCGCACTGGTTAAGTTCACATGTTCCGCTTCTCTGCTTCCTGGGGTTCGCTGGTTCGGATCCCAGGTGTGGACATGGCACCGCTTGGCAAAAGCCATGCTGTGGTGGGCGTCCCACATATAAAGTAGAGGAAGATGGGCATGGATGTTAGCTCAGGGCCAGTCTTCCTCAGCAAAAAGAGGAGGATTGGCAGCAGTTAGCTCAGGGCTGATCTTCCTCAACAACAACAACAAAATATTTTCTCTTATCCCTTTTGTTTTCAAGTTTCATCCATTTTGTAGTATGTATTATACTTCATTGTTTTTGGTGTCAAATAATATTCCATTGTATGAATGCACCCCATTTTATCCATTCATTAGTTGATGGACATTTGGATGGTTTCTGCTTTTTGGCTAGGAACATTGGTGTTCAAGTTTTTCTGTGGACATGTTTCTATCTCTCATGGGTATATACCCTGGAAAGGAATTGCTGGGTGACATGATAACTCTTTGTTTAACTTTGGGTTTTCCAAAGTGGTTGCACCATTTTCTATTTCCACTGGCAGTGCATGAGGGTTCCAATTCTCCACATCCTCACCAATGTTGGTTATGATCTGCCTTTTTGATTATAATCATCCTAGTGGGTATGAAGTGATATCTCATTGTGGTTTTGCTTTGCATCTCTCTGATGGCTAATGGTATTGAGCATCTTTTCATATGTTTACTGGCTATTTGTATATCTTCTTTTGGAGAAATGTCTGTTTGGGTGCTTTGCCCGTTTTTTAATGGGGTTGTTTGTCTTTTTCCTGTTGAGTTGTAGGAGTTCTTTATCCATTCTAGATAAAAGTCCCTTATCAGATAAATGATTGTAAATATTTTCTCCCATTCTGTGGGTTGTCTTTTCACTTTCTTGATGGTGTCCTTTCATGCACAAAAGTTTTAAATTTTGATGAAGTCCCGTTTATCTATTTTTTTCTTCGGTTGCTTGTGGTTTTGGTGTCATAGCTAGGAAACCAATGCCAAATCGAAGGTTACACCCCAAAATTGAGTGAGCTTCACCCTTCAACCCTTCACCTACAGCAGAGGAGCTGCTGGTCCTCACGGCCTAGCTAGCCTACCCTGCAGAATGTCCACATGGACCAAGCTAGGGCGCGGGGATGGTGCAGCCCTAGGCAAGAACCCCATCGGGCATAAACGCTTCTCACATCATCTTTGCCTTTGGTCAATTTCCAGAGTGCTGAAATGGTTGCCTTGGGAGGTGAGAATTTGTCTCTCACCTCACTCAGCCACCCTCAAGCCCGAGTTCTCTTTTCTGTTCCTTTTAACATTGCTTTCAAAATTTTCACTCCCCGGCTCACTATACTTCTAGTTTGCTAATTCTCTCTCTAGCTTTTTGGCTCTGTTTGATCTGCTGTTTAGCCGAGACATTGCATTTTATTTCAAGAGTACCGCTCTTCATCTCTAGTAGTTCAGTTTTGTTTTGTTTTTTCCCAAATCTGCCTGCTTATTCCTGATGGTCCCTCTGTTGCATGCTCATCCTTTGTTTCTTCACCTATTTTTAGCTGTGCTGAGTTCTTCACCTGGCAGTCCCAGTGTCTGCCGTGTGTTATGTCGCTGACTCCCGCTCTCCATGGCCCGCCTCCGCATGTTCTCTGATCTTCGTGTGTGAGCTCCCGACTCGGTCTCAATCTGTGGGAGTCTTGCACGCCCCAGTAGAGAAAGATCGCTTCCAGAGAGGACTTGCCTCTCCTTCTGCCAGTAGCCAGAGGGCACCAACCACCTGAGACCACGTCAGACCTCTGGAAGGAAGTGGTGCAAGGGTCGCACTGCCGTGTGGCTACCGAGCTTGGGCCTGTGGCGAGCTGAGGGAATAGAGCCTGGGACACTGCTCCTCGTCCCAGGCCCTAGGCTTAGTGACCACATAGCAGTATGCTCTCTCACTACCTTTCTGGCTCCAGTTCCTCCCTTTTTTGTGGACCTCCCCTACCGTTTTTAAGTCCAACAGTGCCCCAAAATTGTATCCCAAGCAGTATATAATTATTCTCTAGTGAGAGGGCCCTAGAGCACCTAACCAGCCATACTACTGGAAGTAGAGGTCGAAGTTGACATCTGCTGAGCTTTGACTATATGCCAAACCCTCTAAGCACCTCACGTGGGTAAGGCGCTCAAACCTCACATCAACCCTACAAGATGTGGACTGTTGTTATCCATGCGTGACGGATGAGGGCACTGGGGCACAGGGGGGTTAAGTTACCTACCCAGGTTCTCTGACCACCCCATTTAAAATTATCCACTGCCCTGCTTCAGCTGGCTCAGTAACACCTCGTAACTCTCGAACACACTCCATAGTCTGTTTCTTTTGTTTATGTCTGCTTCCCTCACTGGCTGCTGTGGGAGGAACACCATAGGCACGGTGAACGCAGCCAAAGCCCAGGTTGGGGGCTGTGGTGACAATCCAGGGGAAGATGGCGCTGACTTGATCTAGCGTGCTCAGTGGCAGAGGTGTGACAAGTGGTTGGGCTCAGGACATGTTTTGAAGGTCGAGTGGACTGGATTTACCGAGGGTTTGAATGCGCAGCATAAGGGAACAAAGGGGGTCAAGAATGACTCCTCATTTTGTCATCCGAGCAAATGGGTGAATGGGTGAGATGGGGACACTGGGAAAGGGGCACATTCAGCAGGCAAGGGGGTGGGGGGGAGCAAGAGATGAGTTTTGGATATGTTAAGCGTGTGACGCCAGTTAGCTCTGCAAGTGGAAATACTGAGAGGGAGTCGGATATGAGTCTGGAGTTGAGGGAAGACGAAGGGGCTAGAGATGAAAATTTGGCAGTCGTTGGCTTGTTGATGATAATTAAACCCAGGAGACTGGCTGAGATCTCTTAGGGAGTAAATGAGAGAGAGAAGACAAGGAAGTTCATGGGAGGATGTATTGGAAGGGGGAGGTTATTGCCGTGTTCTAGGAGAGAGATGAGACCTGAACCAGGGAAGCAGTCATAGGCACTAAGCAGGGAACAGGTCTTAGGAAAGTACGGATAAAAACTGGCGGCAGATGGAGCCATCTCCCCTACAAAGCCTTCCCTGACAACTGTGTGCGAGCTGTCCCTTCGGGGTGCTCCCACACACCCCTGTGCCCATGTGGCATGAGGTGTGGTCAGCTTCCCCAGAAGTCCCAGGAAGCAGAGTCAAGATGATCCGTCTCCTGTCCCTAGTCCTCTGTGCACAGCACAGGGCCAGTGACTGTGAGATGGACGCATAAGTGAGTGAACCAATGCCACACTCCCCTCTCCCCTCCCAGGTCCCATTAAGGAACCAAAAAAGATGGTGCCCAAAACAGCCCTTCCTATGGTCAAGAAGCTGGTGATAGCCCCCACTGGGCCCAGCAAAGCCAAGTAAGGAGCAGGGTGGGGGTGGGAGGAGGACGAGGGTCCAGAGCAATGCTGCTCCCTGCCCCCCACCCTCTGGGTCTGATGAGGATGCGTTCCAGGCCACCTGGGACTCCCAGCTGGGACAGTCAGAAGCACCCCTCCCGAGACAACGGTAAGTCTTGCTGCCTCTCTCCAGTGGTTGAGGACTGGGGACAGAGATAAGGAGAGACTCAGGGTCTGAGTAGGCTGGGCCCCTAAGGTTCTGCTCTCATAGGCTCCAGTGGCAGCTTCCTCACTGGAGGTCCCAGCAACCCGGGCAGAAAGCGATCCAAAACCCAGGCTTCCCGGCAACGCTCTGCAACCAGTCAGGTGAGAGGCCCGAGACATGGGAGAGGGGGATACTGGGCAGAGTCTGGCCCCTAGGGGGATAGTCTGTGAGGGTGAAGGCTCCCAGGCCATGGGGAACCACTCAAACGGTCAAGGTCCCCCGCCCTCAGCTGAGACCTCGCCCCCATCACCACAGGAAGAAGGACAGAGCAGCCTAGCAAAGGCCCCTCATGTGGATAATATCCCCACTCTGGACAAGACCCCCACCCCAGGGAAGGCCCCGTCTCCACATAAGGCCTCCAGCCCAGAGAAGACTAGGTCTCCAGATAAAGCCTCCAGACCAGAGAAAACTCGGTCTCCAGATAAAGCCTCTAACCCAGACAAGACTCGGTCTCCAGATAAAGCCTCTAACCCAGAGAAGACTCGGTCTCCAGATAAAGCCTCTAACCCAGACAAGACTCGGTCTCCAGATAAAGCCTCTAACCCAGACAAGACTCGGTCTCCAGATCAGGATCCTATTCCAGAGGAAATCCTGACTCCAGATAAGGTCCCTACCCCAGAGGAGACCCCAACTCTGGAGGACAAGGCCCCCAGCCCAGAAAAGACCCCATCTCAGGACAAGGCCTCCAGCCCAGAGAAGACCCCATTTCTGGATAAGGGCCCCACTCCAGAGGAAACCCTGACTCTAGATAAGGTCCCTACCCTAGAGGAGACCCCAACTCTGGAGGACAAGGCCCCAAGCCCAGACAGGGTCTTTTCTGTGGATGAGGCCCTTGCCCCAGAAATCCCACCTGAAGATGAAGCCCCCAGCCCAAAGATGGCCCCTCTTAGAGACGAGGCCCCCACCCTAGACAGGGTCTTGACCCCAGAGCAGGTGCTCTCTGAAGAGGCCTCCACCCGAGACGACACTCTGCTCCATCACTTCTCTCCGGAGGAAGCCCTGCCGAAGGTCAAGCCTCCTGTGGCCGATGAGGCTCAATCCCAGGAGGAGGTCCATATGCCAGAGGAGCCCCCACTCTGTACGGTGAAACACCCCCTGGATAAAAGGGATAGCTCCCCACTCCAGTCTGAGTCCAAGCCAGGGTCCATGCCCGCCCTTGAGAAGGCCCACCCCCGGGAAGAGGCGACCACGCCTCTCCAGAAGGCACCTGCGAAGGATGAGACTACCCTCAAAGAGGAGGCGCCCCCCAAAGAGGTAGCCCCTACTCAACAGACTCCACATCCTATCGAGCCGACTCCACAACCGCAGGAGACTCCCAGCCTCCATTCCCTGGTCCCGCAAAATCCTACGGACAGCGAAAGTGACAGGGGCGACATAAAGAGGCTACAAGACGAGGTGGTGTCTTTAAGGCGGTCGCTGGAGATGATGGGGGTGCAGCTGGAGTAAGTGGAGGGGGCAGGGAGGGGTGTGGGAGGAAGAGGGACGGGGGCCCTAAGCCTGCCTGGCCCACCCCCTCCCCTCGGTCTCGCGTCCGCAGAAGGAAGCTGACCGACCTCTGGGAGGAGCTGAAGAGGGAGAGAGAGAAGCGCCAGTTGCTGGAGGTGGGTGGCGCGCGGGCCCCGGGCGGGGAGAGAGCAGGCGGCTGGCCCTCCCCTGACGCCCTCTTCTGACTAGGATCGGCTGAATCGGAGGACCCAGGAGTCCGGGGCCCGGGGCTCCATCCACGCGCAGACGCAGACGCAGACGCACTGAGGGTGGGCCCGGGAGGGACTACGGCGAGACCAGGAGCGAAGTCTGGCTCCGGCCACCCACGTCCTTGCACACGACTTTGGGAAACGCAAGAAAGTAAACTGCTGTGTACGCGCCGCGCCTGCCTGGTCCGTGCGGGGGCGGGGCCTGCGCGGCGGGGGCGGGGCCGGCCTGGCGCTCGCGGCCCTCCGCATTCCTGGCGGTCTCTCCCGGGCACATCTGGCCAACATGTGGCTCCCATTACCGTTCTCAAGGCCTGCGCGCGGCTATTTTTATCCACCGGATGGCTGGGGGCCGGGGGGGGGGGGGGAGCGGAGAAAGGGTGTCTCCTTCGGACGTCAGCTCGGCGCTGGAGAGATGGCCGGCAGGAGGGGCCCCGGCGGGGTCGGGCTCTGCCCGCCGGCCCGGATTCCGGAATCCAGCTGTGCGCCAGGGGAGGGGCTGGGCAGGCCTACTCTCCTCCCAGTTGGCCCCACTGTCCGCTCAGAAGGGCTCAAAGGAACGCACCTCGGCTCAGACACTCTACACCCCAGTTCAGGCATATTTGGTTACATTGGGGCCAACAGCGCCTTCGCGTCAAGGTCTGGGTCCCGAGGCCTTGGGGGCTGGGGTGGGGGTGGGGAGTCATTGCAATGATGAGTGAACCCAAGAGCATTTGTAGGGACGGGCGCGACGTGTGCCCAGGCGTTTGCCGGTAAGGGACGCATTCGCGAGTGAGGAATGCGAGTGATATTTGTGTGTGTGAGGCTGCGGTGAGGTGGTGGAGTCGGGGTGCAGGCGTGTTTTTGCCATCTGTGAAGGGAGTGCGAGCGTGTGTGCTGAGGCGTCGGGTGGGTGGATGGAGGTGGTCAGCCTGGTAAAGGAGTCTTGTGGGGTCTCAGCCCTGGGGCCTCCTGCATGGCAGGAGCCTGGGGCCATTAGGGGCAGGGGTGACAAAGGGAGGCTGAGTCAATGAGAATGCAGCTTTCATTGGTCACTTCACCTCTCAATTGTCCCCGGAGAGGGGGTGGGGACCCTGCTTCCTGCCCTCCCCCCAGGGCTTTCTGGCAGGACTGGGGAAGGGTGCCTCCCAGAGGGTGGGGACCCATGCCCTATAGCACCGGGGGAGCCTTGGGGGCGGGGCCTCCGTAGCACCTTGGGCAGGGGCAGTCCGAAGGTCCTGGGGCAGCTCTGAGCTCGTGTGCACGTCCAGTACCCAGAGCGCCTTGCAGCAGGAGCAGGGGCTGGTCAGTAATAGTGCATGCGGCCCAGGGTGCCCGTGGCCGTGGGGCTGGGCCCCAGCGTGCCGGTGCCTAGCAGGTCCGGCTGCCCGGTGCGCCAGATCTCCCGCAGGATCCGTTCCCGCTCCTCCAGGCGCTGCGCCCGCTCCAGCTCCTCCGCCGACGTGAAGACGTTGACGCTGAGGGGCCCGTCGGGCTCTGCGGACAGCTCCGGGCCGGGCAGTGTGTCGTCGGGGCCCAGCCGCGTCACCGTGTCCTCCTCGTCCTCGTCGTCGTCCTCGGGCTCCAGCGTGCTGCTGCGGGGGTCCGGGCGCAGAGCGGGTCCCCGGGGCCGCGGGCGGGGCGCGCAGGAGATACTGATGACTAGTAGGCACAGGGTTAGCAGCAGGCCAAAGCAGACGCCCAGCACGAAGTAGAGGCCAAAGCTCTCGGGGTTAGCTGGGGGTCAGAGGGCAGAAGTCATGGAGGGGCCTTGGCGGCTAGGAGTCACTCCATCTCGAAAAGACTCCAGGTTCTTAGTTTAGGGGGACAAGGACAGTACCCCCTATTTGAAGGACATTAGGTAGCCGTTATCGGGCAATGGGGGGCAGTGAGGATGGGGGAACTGGGAGTAGGTGACTGGCTAAGGGAGGTTTTAATGGTGGGGGGAGGTGGGAGGGCAGGGCCGAGCGGGGCCAGGGAGGGGTGCACGGCCCGGGCCGCCCGGGCCGCCCTCACCGCGGATGTGTGCGTAGGCCGCCAGGCTGTTGCTGAGCAGCTCCATGTCCCTTCGGGGGGCATCCATGCTGCTCGGGGGGGGGGGGGGGACAGCGCCCCTGTCAGCCTGTGAGGTCAGCAAAGTTAGATCCTTCTCCCCAGCCTAGAGCTGACCCTGACCCCGCTTCCTCCTCGGGGCAGCTCTTCTGCCTGAGCTGCAGCTCAGGTTCCACCCTGGAGAGAGCGGCTGTAGACTTGGGCCCTTTCTGGGGGGGATCCTTGCCCTGGGCACGGACACCCCTCCAACCTGGGGTCAGGGGAGTCGGCCTCAGAAGGCTCTGCCCCCTGAGGCGTCCCCAAATGAGGCCCAGCTTCGCCATCCCGGGAGCAGAATGGAGGGGAGAGACGCGGGTGCCCTCCCCACTTCCAGGCGGGCTCCGGGGAGGGGAGCCACTTCCCTCTCCCATCTCGTCCGCCCCACGGGGACCCACCGGCCAGGAGGCCTGGGCTCACTCACCGTCAGCGCCCGGATTCCCAGCTGCCCGCCCAGCGCGTCTGGCGGCCGCATACACCCGGGGCCGGGCCGCTCCCGCCCCGTCCGGTCCCGACCGCCCCGCCCGCCCGGCTCGGCTCCCAGGCCGCGGCAGCGCGGGCCGGACACGGGCCGATGGACCAGCCGGCGGAAAGTTTCCTCCGAGGAAAGAGGAGGGACGGGGCGGGGCGGGGCTGGGCGGGGGGAGGCGCAGAGGAAAAGGGCCGGGAGGGGAAGGGGAGAGGAGCGGGCGGCCGCGAGGAGGGGGAGCGCGGCCTGCGGGGCGTCTGCTCCCCTACAGGAAACCGCTGGGGAGGCCGGGTGCAGGGACCCGCCCCCAGGCTACTACTGACAACAATAATAATAACGAGGATGAAGTTCTGCTCGGTGCCAGGCGATGGGCTAAATAAACCCTTTATAATATTCTTTGATTTACTCTTAACAACCCTATCACACGAATGTCATTATCCTCACTTGGCAGATAAGTAAACTGAGTCACGGAGAAATTGAATAACTTTACCAAAGGGTCAGGATTTGAACCCACTGCTCTCTGACCCTAGAACCTGGCTGGGCCCTTAACCCTTTCCCTATACCTTGCTCTTTCTCCCAGAAGGCCCCCACACCCGGGGAAGATGGCTCCTCTTCTCCCCCTCCATGGCAGCCCTCCCCCAGACTCTCAACCCACAATGGAGGGAGGGGGTGCTCATCCCCTCCTCCGCGGTGAGTGTGTCCAGCTGGCGGAGCTCTGGTCACACAAGGTTAATGAATGTTGGACTCTGGCTTTGAGCCAGGGCCAGGCCAGCCTTGCTGATCCCTGCCTGGGGCCTCTGCTGGCCCCTGTGCTGTTCTGCACCGGAGCGCGCAGAGATATTTTCTCCCAGCTAAACCTGGTTATGCACACACGTGCATTTCCACCTGGGCTCAGGCTTGTGCATGCAACATGTGTGATCAGTATGTGCAGCCCTGGTTGTCTTCCTGCCCAGACTCCTAGGCTGCCCCCACGCCCACCCCCGCTTTGGGGCCCCCCTTCCTGGGCTGGGGTGAGGGGGAGGCCTTCTTGGCAGGAGCCTTAGAAAGGAGGAGGGAAGGAAGGGGGAGAGGAAATTGCAGACATAGCTGAAGGCACAGCCTGAGGCCTGTGGGCCAGTGACCCCCCTCTCTGTCCAGGCTGGAGACCCTCTGCTCCCAGTCCTGAGACTGGGTTCAAGCAGAGGGCAGAGCTAGCTGGGGAAAAGACTAGGACTGACTCCCATGGCGATAGGAAAGGGATTCTTGGGTGTTTAACCTGTGTTGTGAGCATGTGTGGAGGTATTTCTGCCCGTATCTGTATATTTGTACAACTATTTTTGTGGTTCAGCAGTCAACCCAACAGACATGGGTCTCTGCCCTTGTGCTGACAGGGAGTTGGAGAGACAAACGACTCATGAAGAAGATAATCTCGGGGGCTGCTGTGTGCTCAGAGGGTGATGGAGCAGAGTAATATGATGGAGAACACCTGGGGCGGCTCTCAGGAGGGACATCCCGGGTGAGACCTGAATCCTCAGGAGGGGCAGCCAGGACAGGATCCAGGAAAGGGTGTCTGGCAGGAATAAGGGCTCCTGAGGTAGGAGCACGCTTGGGGCACCTCTATCCCTGGGTGGAGAGGCCCCGGGACAGTGATGGGGCGATTGACTGCGAAAGGGCTAGTCGGCTCTGTGGAGGAGCCTGGATATTACTGTGGGTGTAGGGGGGAGCCCTGGATGTTACGGTAAGTGTAGGGAGGGGGAGCCCCTGGAAGATTTTAATCAGGAACGTGTCATGGTTTGGTGATGCACTTTGGAAAGATCCCTGTGGGGGCTCATTGTAGGATGGGTCCCAGCAGGAATGGGAGCAGAAGAGCAGTGAGCAGGCTGGCAGCCATCCAGGCAGCGATGGCTGAGGGTTTGGCCTGAGATGGCCAGTAGAGGAGGTGACACAGGACCGGATTCAGGCGGTATGCTGAAGGGGGCATCAGCAGCACTTCCTGCATTGGACGTGGAGGTGAGGGAAAGAGGCATGTAGGACAGGGGCCTGATACTGGGCCTGAGCGCCTGAGGAAAGCTTCCGTGGGGAGCACGTTTCCTGTTAGATAGTTGGATTTGAGATTTCCGTTAGCTATCTGGCTGGAGGTGTCAGACAGGCAGGTGGAGCCCTGAGGAGACTGGGCTGGAAGTGTGTCTGAGGGTCCTCAACACACAAGATGGATTGAGGGCCCCCGGGAGTGGGTGAGATCACCCAGGGGCAGGGAGAGAAGAGAAGGCATCTGAAGCCTGAGTTCTGGAGGCGCCAGCATCGAGAGGTCTCAGGGAAAAGTCAGCCCGTAGAGGCTAGTGAGGAGGGAAGAAGACCTGTTGAACTGAGCTGAGAGGTGAAGGTGAGGCCAGAATCTGACCACTGGCTGTGAGCTCAGTGGGTGTCCGTGAGTTGCACTGACAGGTTGAATGCCTGCCATCCATGTGAACACGAGTGTGTGCTACTGCTGTGTTTGTATGACCGCCCCTGCGTGTGGAGGATGCTGTGCCTCAGTTTGTATGGCACGTACCTGTGTCTCTGTGAGGGTCCACGTGCGTGCCTCTCCGTGTGTGCGGGGGCTGTAAGATTTTGCATATGTTTGTGTCAAGCTGTTTCTGTGCATCTCTGTGCTATGCAGATCTCTAGGTATTGTTACCTACAGACAAAGGTGTGTGTGTGTCTGGGTTGGCGTGTGACGTGTGTTTGGAGTGTGTCAGGTGTGACTCGCCCCTGGTGAAGCAGGTGGCCGTGCTGGAGCAGAGTGAGGGTTCAGATGGTTGCCGGTCCCTTCTGAGAGAGGGACACATGGTACCCAGAGTACGGCCTTCCCCAGGGGGATGCATGTGGCCAAGCCAGGCCAGCTGGGAGAAGTGAGCCTTGCCCTGGAGGGGTTGAAGAAGCTGAGAGCTGCTCCTGGGGCCCTGGGGAGGAGCCTGAAGCCTTTGGCCCATGCAAGCCATCCCCACAGTCCCTGGCCACCTGCCTACCTGCTTTTCTGCCTGCTTTTCCCCGCCCGCCGGCCTGTCTGTAGGTCTGCCCAGCCACCTGCTTTCCGGTAGTGCTGGCTGGGATCTCTCCACGTATCTGTCACCTGCCGGCCTGGCTTGCGTCTCACCCGTCCACCTGCTGGTTTCCTCCCTGTCTGTCGGCCTGTGACTGACCCGCTGCCTGCCCACCTGCCCTCTTGTTGGCTGCCTCTCTGCCTTCCTGTCTGCCTGTGAGACTCGAGACTTGTCACCTTGGGAGGCACAAAGTGTGAAACGCAGGAAAGACAGATCTTGATGGGCGGTCTGGAGGCTGAGAGATCCAGAGCCCCTGGGAGGGGCTGGCGTGTTTAGGGCCCAGTGCAGAGCCTGATTCTGCTCCCTTCCCCAGTGGCCAAGTGGGGCCTGGTCCTGGCTGCTCTGTTCCAGACACTGGGCCCTCATCCCACTGTGGGGTCAGGGACTGCCTAGGCCCTGGATGGAGGGAAGACGGGGACTCACTCAGAGCCTCCTAAAACCTTCCCAGTCCGCTGAGTGCCCCCTCAGCACCCAGGACAGCTGCCGGGAAGAGGGTACTGTGAAAGTTTGCAAAATGAATAATAGTTGTGGATATTGCGTACCCTTCTGCACCCTGGTACTCTGCTGGATGCTGTGCACGTACCAACCCTCCGAATCCTCCCAGGAACCCTGTGTAGTTTGTAGCGTGACTCCCATTTTGCAGAGGAGGAAAATGAGGCTCAGAGAGGTTGAATGATGTTTGTGGGGACGAATGTCCTTTTATGCTCCGGAAATGAAATGTATGGCTAATACGAATTCTAGAAATGTCCATAAATTACCTCCATTTCTAATTTAAAAAAATATGTATATATCTGTTCCATCTTGTAAAATAAATAAACGGTAATGATATGTATTTGGGAAGTGATCACTTGCCAGGAAGGTGAGAGCTACACGTACAGACTGACTCTGGGGTATGGGGTGTGTCAGTGTCAGCAACGATGAAGAACTCTTGGTAAAATTCTGAACAAACAAGGACAGATTTCCTCCCTTTTACACAGTAGCTGCATTCCCAGGAAATTCAGAGTATATTAGGTATACACAAATCCTTTGTGTTTATGTATAAAATGGAGTTAGATTCTTGGCTCTGGTCATTATAAACAAGTTTTTCACTCATGTCGTGCAAGACGTAGCATCTGCCTTCCTCGTGGGGTTGTCTGGAGGCCCCGGCCCCCACCCTCTAAATGCCAGCAACGCCCCCCAGTCATTGTGACGACTACCCCTGCACGGACGCCAGAAAAGAGTCCTGTCCTCAAGGAGCTCAACCTTCCAGCTGGGGAGACAGACAATAAATATATGCTATCATGTCAGGCTGTGATAAGCACAATGAAGAAAACTAAAGCAGGGGAAGGGGTTAGTGAAGACCAGGTGGACATGGTCAGGGAAGGCCTCTCCGAGGAGGTGACATTTTGAGCAAAGGGGCGTGAGAGAAGGAGCCGTGCAAATATCTGGGGGAAGAGCCTTCCAGAAGGAGTAGCCAACGCAAAGGCCCTGAGGTGGAAGCGTGCTCGGCTCTTTCAGGATCAGCGAGGAGCCTGTGTGCCTGGGACAGTGAGCGGGATGCGGGCCGAGACGTTAGAGGCCAGTGTAGAGCCGTGTGACACAGAGCCTTATAAACCACAGACGGGCCTGTGGGGCTTGTCCTGCCTGGGGTGGAAGCCATCAGAGGGGTGTGAGCAGGAGGGACCAACGGGACTTTTAAAAGGCTCACTCTGCCTGGCGGGTGGCTACTGGGCTGTCAGGGGGGGAGTGGGAGCAGGGAGACCGGGAAGGGGGAAGGGGCTGGGACGGGGTGGTCTCAGAGAGCTGTGGCCGGTGCTCACATTTGCTGGGCTGGCAGGATTAGCAGGATTGGACATGGGTCATGCGAGGGAGAGAGAGGGACAGATCGACAGACAAGAAGTCAAGGTGAACTTGGCTTTGGAGCCTGAACAACTCAGCCCCAGAGCCTCCATTCCCTCGCTCCCTGTCCCACCTCAGACGCTCCCCAAGGACCCTGGCGACAGGCGCTGGCCGACACTGAGGGGAACTGCTCAGTTCTCTTCAACACCTCAGGAGCACAGGAGGCTGCAGATTATGCCACCCTTCTGGGACTTTCCCCTTCCTTGGTTTCAGAGCTCGCAATAAAAACTGGTGAAGAGTCATCTTAGAAGTTTAGGTTAATAACCCGACAGTTCTGGCGTGCGAGCTGCATGCCAGGCCCGTTCTGTGTGCTGAGGACACATGAGTGAGCAAAGTCCCTGCTTGCGTGCAGCCTGCTGGCTTGGGTGCTGCTGAGTGTAAGCGTGCAGGGCCTGGGGGAGTCCTGTGCACAGAACACAGGCTGATCAGGTCAGGGCATAGGAGGGAGGCCGAAAAGGGAGACGAGGCCCAGGGGCGGCAGCTGGTAGAGTTGGAGGGTGGCAATGGTGGCTTGGGCGTGATGGTCCCTTCTGTTGATGCATCTAGGAAAGCTCGATAGACAAGGCATGAGCCAGAAGAAATGGGCAAAATTTGTATAGACTCAGGAGGGGCCAGGAGGATGGCTGGCCTCCTGGCTGCTTGGGGCAGGAGTGGGGCCGTGGGGGAAGGGAGGGGCTGAGGGGCCTGGGGCCTACTCTAAAGCAGCTGCAGAGCGCCAGGGTCTTCTCACACCTTGGAGGGGTGCCACCCCCTCTTGCTGTGTGGACACTGACTGGGAGGGGGCTCCTCAGGCCTGGCTCTCTGCTCCCTTTGGGACCTGGGCCTGTGTGGGAGACCTGACCACAAAAGGGGGTCTGCTGTGCCCTGTGCCGTGCCGGGGGGGGGCCAGCCGACCTCTAGCTTCATTGCTCTGATCCTCTATCTGCAAAGCCTAAATTTAGGCAAAGGAAGGAAGGAAAGAGGAAAGGAAGGAAGGAACCCCCTTGGCTTCCTATGGAGGGGAGGGTAAGGGAGGGGAGGGTGGTGCAGGAAAAGGCCTGGTCCTTCTTACCCCAGCTGCCCTGGATGGGCGTGTGGGCACCTGGGCACTGTGCCTGGCTAGGTCCCCCGACCCCAGAAGGGGCTTTGGCCAGGAGAAAGGATCAATACTCTGCCAGCTGCAGCTGCTGTGGGCTGCCTCCTGCCTGCACAGGTCCGGGCTGCGCCAAGCCGAGCAGGGAGCGCCCCCTCGGGCACTTAGAGGCAGGCTGGACCAACGGGTCTGGGAGAATGCCGGGTGGTTCTGGTCCCCCTGCACCAACGGGTCTGGGAGAATGCTGAGTGGTTTGGCCCCACCCCCCTTCCTGACAGCCCGCTCGGGCCGAGGGGACCTATCCAGTGCACCTGGTGGTACAGCCAAGAGCCGCAGAATCCCACACTGGCCGGCTGGGACGGCAGGAGACGGGCCGGGTGGGAGATGGAGATGCAGGCGAGGGGGCGGGAAGGGCAGATGACACAGACCACAGTGGCCCCAGATCAGGAAGTTTTATTGCTGACATGCAGGAAGAGTCCCCATGTAGTACAAAAATATGTCTTTATACAAACTTTTTTGTGACTTTTTCCGTTTTGTTTTGTTTCTTTACAACAGGACTTCTCTCAGCGTGTGACCCCCAGTGAGGACAGACCCCACCTCCTCTCACTTGCTTTACCAGAAATGTAATCAGACACATGGGTTGACCTTGGAAGGGACCAGTCTGTCTGACAGGGCTTTGCAGAACCCGAGGATATTGCTTTGAAAAGGAGAAAGACCACACGTGGCAAGCAGGCCCGAGGGTCTGGGCAGGTTGCTGGACGGGGGCTCGGCTGAGACCCTCACAGGACAGTCACAGGGGCTGGGAGCCCTAGGCTGGACTGCATTTCTACTCCCTTAGGAGACTTCTTTTTGAAATAAATATAGAAAAGAGGGCACCCCCCGCCCCCACGGCACGAGGCCCTGGCTCCCAGCGGCTGGACAGCTGGTCGAGGCAGAGCGCCGTGCTCAGGGGGTAAGTGCTGGGCTCAGACGGGCTCCCAAGGCCCACTGAGGCAGAGGCACGGGACGCCCAAGTGCTGGGGTGGGGACATGGAAAGGAAGGGGCGTGGGCGGCCCTGCTACTGCTGGCAAGAGGTGGCCCCATTTTGTCCAGATGGGGAACTGAGGCACAAGGAGGTTTGGGAACTTGCCCAAGCCACTCACAGTGAGTCAGCTTTTGGGGAGGGGGCAGCTCACACTCTGGGAAACAAAGTCACGCAGGCCTCGGTCACCTCCCCACTGGGGAGCATGGCCAGGCAGGAAAGGCCTGCAGCCCCAGGGCTGCCTGGAGGGAACACTGGGCCTCTGCAGGCGGTGGGGGTAGGCTGGGGGGAGCACTTTGCTTGGCACTGGGCAGGGCCAAGTCCAGTTGGGGGGGGTGCGCATTCTGGTGAGAACAGCGTTTCTGGCAAGACAGGCATCCACTTCAAAATCTCGGCTCAAAAGGGGCAGCAGGACTGTTCTCAAGCCAGGCAGGGCCCCCGGTCCCCACAGGTCTCCCCACGAGCCCCGCAGGCTGCAGGAAGGACTCTGGCCAGGGTCTGCTGGGAGAGGCGCCTCATCTCTCATGAGGCAAGGGCAGAGGGGAGATGCCGCCACTGTTCTCTGAACACAGAGTGGGGTGTGGGGAGCGAGAGGGCGTGCACGCAGGGCCACCTGTTCACACGGACAGGAGTCCAGCCAGCCCTCCCCAGCCTGACCACAGGCACCCCTTTCACATCTCTGTCCAAGTTACCTTGATACCACGGCACCACGGCGAGGGGCGGAGAAGGAAGCCAGGGTTAATGCGAGGGTACAGCACCTCAGAGAAGCTACTGAGATGGGAGAAAGAGAACCAAGTCTAGAGAGGCCTCCCCATCACCAGAAACAAGGAGGGACTGGTGGGTGGGAGGGGGAGAGGGGACGGCAAGAAGGGGCTTCTGGGCCTGGGGGCGAGGGAGGGGCCCATCTGTGGGCTGTGGCCCCCTGCTGTCCAGCCAGGCTGGGGGCAGGGAGAGGCCACGGGCCTAGCCACCTAGAGATGGGAGAGAAGTTGGTTTCAGTACAAAAATAAATATATTTGAATTCTGCTTAAGATGAGGTGAAGGTTTTCCAAAGCTTAGACGGAAGGGCCTGGGTTCAGGAGGGGCAGGACGGGACCGGGTGGGAGGGGCCTGGGGGAGCGTGGGGTGGGCGTTCATGGGGAGCCAGCAGCGAGCTGCACTCTCAGCTTATTTGGACTGTGGGGGCTCTGCCCGGCAGTGGCCGGCTCAGACCCTGGGACAGGGTGGGCTCCCTCCTCCTCCCTCTCACTCAGTCCAGAGACAGCATGGTTAAAGAGACAGAGGTAGATTAAAACATCGTGATTAAAAGCAGATTAGTTATCTAGGCTTCTCAGATTAAAAAACCAAACGATCAAGCAATCATCTCAAAAGGTAGCTTCGTGGTACCTCTGCTGACCCCATGTATGACCTGGGCTGTCCCTGCCCCGTCCCCGCTGCACCCTGGAGAGAGTTCAGAACCACGGGGCCCAGCCCCCACAGCTGGGTGCTGGGCTGGGGGCTGGGAAGAGGTGGCGGGCGGCCGCTGGTGGCCCTGCCTGACCGAGGCTGCTATTTCCGCAGGTAGCGCTGCGCCAGGATGGCTGCGTCCAGGGGGTTCATGGGCTGCGCGTCATGGCCCAGCCGGCGCACGGGGGGCACGCTGCCGAACTGCCGCTTGGGCACCCAGCTCCGGGCCTCGTGGATGGAGCTCTTCTCCTCGGCCAGCAGCAGCTGCTGCCGCATGTAGTTCTCAAACTCGTACTGGGAGCACTCCTCCGTCACCTTGGCCTGCGAGGCACAGAGGGAGGTGTGCGTGTCAGTGGCCCAGCTCCAGAGGCCTCTTTCTTCCCCGGGCCCACACTCTGGCGCCCAATCTAGCTGCTGGCCGAGAATGTGGGTCCCTGAGGCCCTCTGGCCAACCCACACCTTGCCCTGCTGGCCGCCCTGGGTGCCACTCCAGCTGGATCCCCTCTCCTAAGACACTGGCCTTGGCAGAGGTCACATTACCTCAGAAGCCTTAGCTTCCTCGCCTGTGAAGGGGGCAGTAATCTCCCCTCACACAGGGTCTAGAGAGCCCTGGGGGCCAATGCAGGTCAAGTGTTAAGAGAGGGGCCTGGGGCCGGGCTGGCAACCCTGCTACTCTATCTCACCCCATGCTGGGCTCCTGGAGAGGCCCAGGCACAGTCACAATCTGAAGTGGTAGGTCCCTGCACTAATCATCAGAAGGGGAAAGCAGGGCTTTGCAATCAGACTTGAGTTCGAGGCTCAGCTCCACTACTTCCAAGCTGTGTGACTTTGGGAAAATTATTTTCCCTCTCTGAACCTCAATTGCCTCTTTGTGAAAGAAAGATAAGAACACTGGCCCCACAGGCCTGTAAGAGGCTTGAGGGAGATGCACTGGGGTGGGCACTCACTGCACGCTAGTGATGACTATTTTTAGCTGCTGAACAGCCCTGGGAGCGGGTGGGAGCTGGAGGGTAGGACCTGGAACTCTCTCTCCTCTCTGCTATGGTTCCAGGCTGGCTCCTCCTGGTCCTGCCCACCTAACGCTTGCTGTGGAACCCCAGGGTGGGCCAGAGAGGGAAGGTCCTTACAGCACCCCTGCCCTCCAGGGGGCACCCTAAGATCACCCGCCAGCTGCAGCCTAGTGCCCAGGTCTCCGCCCCCATCCCGGGCGCAGCACTTTCTCCAGAGCAGGGAACAGGGGAGGAGAGAAAACTGGGAGAAAATGAATCATCTGAAAAACTCAAAGCAGGAAGGCAGAGAGAGAACCCTGTGAGTCAGGGGCAGAGGAAAGTGACTGTTTAAAGGGCCAGCATGTGGCAGAGCCAGGGCTGGGGCAGGAAGAGGAAGCTGAGGGCCAGGTTGGGCCGCTGCGAGGCCTCCCCGGAGGGGCTCCACCTCAGCTGCCCTACAACCCTCTCGCAGGCCATGGAACTGCCAGCTGAGCCAGACACAAGGCAAGTCCCATGCCAAAGGCCTGTGTCCCTTTCCCACCTCCCAGGGGAAGTGGAGGGCTGGGGACCAGGCTGAGGAGGCCCTGTGGCCTGCTGGGAGCTGCCACCTCTGCCCCTGCCCTGCCCACCCTCCCTGGAGGCTGGCCCCCAGGACTTGGTACTGGACTGTCTGCCCTCCTCAACTCACCTCCTGGGAGCTGTCCGCATGGCTCATTTGGTCGTCGATGTCAGGAACCACTTGCAAAGGCCCGCTCAGAGACGACAGGGACTGCCTGCAGGGGAGGCAGCCAAGTCAGGCTGGCTCCAGGCAGCCCCAGGCCCCTGCTGCCCTGGCCTGGCTGGCACGAGCCCAGGAAGCCCAGGTCCCCACTGCTCCAAGACTTGGCTGGAGTCAACAGACCTGGGGGGGGTCCTGGCTCAGCCCCTTCCTGACATGACTGGCTCTGCTCCTCTGAGCCTGTTTTCTCACCTTCTCAATAAAGGGGGACAACGTCTACCTCACAGGCTCTGGTGAGAACTCAGTGAGGGAAGGCTACCCCATAGCTGGCATCAACTGGCATGCAGGAGATGCTCAACCCTGACTTCTGCCTGCATCCTCCCAATCTTACCCATGGGCAAAATCTGGAAATCTGACTCTGCCTGACAGAGAAACAGGCCCAACCTCAGGCTGCTTTTCTGGGCAGGCCGGGCAGTGCCTAAGGACAGGCAGAACCCAGCCCTGCACCTGGCCCAGTGCCCGCCCACTTACCACGATGCGATGATGGCACTGAGGGCCTCCAGCACGTCGGTGGCGGCGAGGCGCTGCTGGGGGTCGAGGACCAGCAGTTTCCGGATGAGACATACCGTGTTCTCAGAAACCCGCCCATCCCTGATGCGGTGAGAGGGAGAGGGCAAGGGCTCAGGCTGGGCAGGCTGCTGCTGGGTCTCGGACCCAGGACTCCCAGCCTCCCTGTGCTGTTTCCGCCCCTTGAGCCCCATGGGCTGGGCCTCCCTCCCCCTGCAGGGAGGCAGGACTCACTCAGGGATGGTGTACTCGGCGGCCTTGATCTTGCGGAAGAGCTCCTGCGGGATGCTGTCATAGAAGGGGAACTGGCCGTAGAGCATGGTGAAGAGCACCACGCCCAGGGCCCACATGTCGCTCGGCTTGCCCCGGTATGGCCGGCCTGGGGGACACAGGGACACGCACGCACTTAGCCCAGGCCACGAAGGAGAACAGGCCTGGGATCCCCTCAACTCGCCAGCTATGTGCCTGAAACCCTACCCACGGGACCCCTCCACCTTGCCACCCACACTTCCAGTCACCCTCCTGCCTTGTTCCCAGAGCAAGCCACCGCGGCTTGGTCCTCTGAGCTTTTGGCCATGCTTGGCCCTCCCCTGCTCCTCAGGCTGACTCCTGCTCATGCTCAATAGGACGATGCCCCACCTTGGTGTAACCTCTGAGGAGAAGGGGTCACACTTGGCCTCGTGCAGCCCATCCACCTACAGCGTGTCTCGTGCCGCCTCCTGGCAGCACCAGCCCTGCTCGGCCAGACTTCAAGCCCCAGAAGGATGGGCCTGGGTCTATGGCCGCAGCACCCAGCAGTGGCTCACAGAGCTGGTGGCCAACAGTGTATGTGGAACAAGGAGGTCGCCAGCCCTGGACAGCCAGCCTCGGCCCTCCGCGGTCACTATCCCCCCCAGCGCCAGCGCCATGTGTGAGCATCCCCTTCTTTGTCTGTTCACTCCCGTCTCCCCCTCTAGAAGGTAAGCTCTCAGATGCAGGCGCCCCTCTGCTTTGCTCACTGCGGAAACCCGTGCCCAGCGTGGACTCATATATTTGCTACATTAAGGAGAATCCAGTTAAGTCAGCTCTGTGCTACAGTTCTCTTCTCTGTGAGACAGAGAGGAGCGAACATTCAACTGAGCACCAATGTGACAGCATTGGAAGGAACACTTTTATTTCATTAAATCTCTACCACAACTCTATGAATTAGATACAGATGGCTCTCAGTACCCACAGGTTTCACATCCACGGATTCAACCAAGCGATCCGCAGTTCACATTTCAATCCGCAGGGGTCTGAATCCGCGGATGCAAAACCTGCAGACATGGGAGGGCCAACTGACCGTAATCACTGCACTGTGCCATTTTATTTAAGGGACTCGAGCATCCGTGGATGCTGGCATCCGAGGTGGGTTCCTGGAACCCATTCCCCGCGGACACCAAGAGATGACCGTATTTTGTCTATTTCTCCAAAGAGGAAAACGAGGCACAAGGATGTTTTTGTCCAAGGTCACACAGCTGACTGTACAAGCGTCCCCTTCCCATTTCCAGGGCAATCTGCCCACCTGCCCATCAGCAGTAGAGTTCCTCCCAGATGCCAGCTGCTGCCTGACCTGCTCCCCAAAACGTAAAATATGAGAACAACTCAAGCTTTTCAAAAGCCCCTGTGGGCCAAGCCCCCGAGACAGCGCCTTCTCTGGCCCAGCAGTGGTCTCCATGGCAGCCAGCACCCCAGAACATGGCTCACTCCCTATGGGTGTGGAAGAGACGCTGCCGGGCACCTTGGCGTCATCTCCCTGGGCACCAGGCAGCGCGCAGATAACTAAAATCCTTTTTCTGGTCCAAAAGCCTCCTTCCTGGGTGGCTGAAAATGCCTTCGGGGTGGGAGACGTCTGTTCTGAAGGTCTCACCAGGCCCACTGGGGTCAAGCAATTTTTTTTCTTAAATTGTGAACTTATTCCAACATATTTTTTCACTTTGACAAATATATATATATTTTTCGGTAAGGAAGATTGGCCCTAAGATAACATCTGTGCCCATCTCCCTCTATTTTGTATGTGGGATGCTGCCACAGTGTGGCTTGATGAGCGGTGTGTAGGTCCGTGCCTGGGATCTGAACCTGTGAACCCTGGGCTGCAAAAGCTGAGCACGTTAACTTAACCACTAGGCCACCGGGCCAGCCCTGGGGTCAAGCAACTTAACAGGGAGGGAGTGTGCACACGCGCATGGACAAATGCTGTTACAGGCCTTGGCCTGTGCCTATGAAGGTACCACGGACCACCTTCAACGGGCCTGTTACTTCATCTGAAAAGCACAATGATGAGAAGCCAAGGGCACCCGTGGGGCAAGAGCTTCGGCTGGCTGGTCCCACAGGCAGATCTGTGGAGACGAGCCCTGCCACGCTTTCCTGAGGCTGTACGCCCCCGGCCCTTTCTACCCCCGATGCGAGAAAGCAGCTGGGGCGACCCTGTGCAGCTGCCCCCAGGGCCAACTCAAGGGCAGCCCCTTTCTCCCAGACTGCTCCACCAAGTGGGACCCCCAGGAGAGTGCACTGGGCCACTACTCTTAGCTCTGTGTGGCTCCACAGAAGGCACGGCACCCTGCAGCAGCTGGAAGGCAGTTCCTGCTGGGATGCCCGAGCCAGAATCGCGGGCTGCGTAGGGAGGGGCGCTGCTGCCAGGACTGCTGTGGGCTCTCAGCCGGGGCCAGCTGACTTGGAAGGACTCGAAGTTCTGCCCGGACCCGGAGGGGAGAGGTACGGCCCCCTCCAGCAGGCAAGCTCTCCCAGGAGCTCTAACCGTCAGGTGACCTTTCCCTGAGCTTTGGCTTTCCAGGGAATACTGACCGCCAAGCTTTCCTTTTGTAAAGATAATGCCAGCTAATGTTTATTGAGCCAGACACTAGGTAAAGGCTTTATTTAACCCCAAAGGGACCCAATGAAGGAGGGCTATTATCATCCCAATTTTACAGATGAGAAAATTGAGGCCCAGAGAGATCAGTAACTTTTCCAAGGTCACACAGTTATTAACCAGACTATAAACTCTGTGAGGGCAAGGCCACATTTGCCTTTTCACAGCTCCATGCCCAATGCCCAGGACTGAGTTTGGCACACAGAATAAATGAGGTGGCAGAGCTGTGTGGGGGAAACCCATCTGGCAGGACTCATAATCATCTGCTTAACAATGGGGGAGGCAGGACTGTTTTCAGCTTGTAATCTATGAGGAGACTGAGACTCCGAGAAAGGGTCCGAAGGCCAAGTCACAGAGTGGCCAGTCAGCAAGGCCAGAATGAGAGCCCCGGTCTCTGGTCTCCCAGTCTCAGTCTCTCTGAAACAGTAGGTTCCCTTGTTCCATCCTGCAAGACTGCCATGAGTCTGGAAGAGCCGGAGAGAGGGGCCGTGGGCAGCAGCAGGAAGTGACTGCACACAGAGGCCACCCTAGCGTGGCATTGCTGAGGAGGCGTCCTGCCCAGAGGCAGCCCTCCCACCCAGGCCTGCACAGTCACAGCCCTGCCTCGTAGCCCAGGCTGACGGAGGGGCCCAGTCCATCCTCCTGGCTCTGTCACCGACAGGGATGCTTTGGGGACTTGCACAGAGGGCATCCAGGCTGGGTGGGGGGGGGGTGCCCAGGGAATTGGGATCCAGCCCTTGGCACCCAGATCCCTCTAGCTGAGGCTGCAATGGACTCGAACCAAAATCCCCAGTTCTGGAGAGGGACACCACTACCCTGTGCACGTGGGTAGCCCTGGGAGAGGCCTGGCCTTCCAGTAGAAGCCTCCAAGGGGACTGTAAATGCGTGTGGCAAGTTCCAGCAGCCTGCGCCTCAGGAAGACATGGGCCACCTGGGAAGAGGCTGGTTCCGCCACTGCGAGGAGGGGCACACATGGGGGTGTGCTGGGGATGGCAGACCCTGGAGACAACCCTGAAACCTCCATGTTGGAGCGACGGGAGCTGATGTAACCCTTGGTCCCCTGAGGGATCAGGACAGAGGGACCCCAATGTGGCACAGGACAGTGGGAAAGGGAAAGAAAGCCTACGGTGAAGCAGCTAGGAGTGGGGCTTGGGTGGGAGGTGGCCCCGGTTAGAGCCTCGGTTTTCCGGTTTATTATTAGCTATGACTTTGGACAAGAGATCTGATCTCTCCGAACCTCGGTTTTCTCATCCGTAAAAAACTAGGACTTGGAACAGTGGCCTCACAGGGTGGCTGTGAGATTCTCAGCAGCGTACATCAAGTGCTCGGCATAGCGCCTGGCCCCTAGCAGCACGGTCAGTGGGGGAACTGTGAGATGACGGATTCACTTTGCGCGGCATGTCTCCGTCCGGCCGTCCTGGAGGCCGAGGCTCTGTGCCCGGTCACTGCTGTGCCCAAAGTGCTGAGAATGGGCCTCGTAAGCGGGAGGCCCTGGGTAAACGCCAGCAGAAGGAAAGAAAGAACGAATGAAGCGTGTGACGTCTCTGACATGCAAATCCCCTCACGCACACCAGGGAAGACCTGTCCCATGGCTTCCTTTCGCACTTGACATCAAGGATGGCGGCTCTTACCCTGCGGTTCTGACCTGCCCCCTGTCTGGCTGTGAACCAGGCTCACTCTGTGAGCAGCAGCCAAAGGGCCTTCTGTTGGTTCCTCAAATATGCCAGGCTGCCCCTGCCGAGTCACACAACCCCAGTGGACTCCTATTTATCCTGACAGTGTCAGCTCAGATGTCACTTCCTCGGGGAAGTCCTTCAAGCGCCCGTTTTTTGCACTCACAGAAGTCACATTCTTCCTTTCTAAGCACTACTCTCAGAGGGTAATTAAACACACCTCAGTATGACGATCACCATCTCATCCTCTGTAAGACCCCAATTTTGTACCTGGAGGGACAGTACTGGTTTGGGCCACCACTGAAGCCCCAGCACCTGGCCCAGGGCCCGCCCACAGATACAGTTTGTTGAATGAATGAACTGCCGCAGAGCCTGGCTGTGTGAAGCCCAGGCCCGCTGCCTGGCCCACCAAACGTACCACTGAGCACGTCGGGACTGATGTAGGCGGGGCTCCCCCTCTGGTCCTTCAGCAGGTCCCCCTCGCTCACGAGATGCTTCCCGAGGCAGAAGTTGGTGATGGTTATCCGATGTGTCCTGGGAGCAGGAGGCAGAGTGAACACAGCTTGGTGTCTGCACCCATGGGCGTCCCTGCTGTCCCCACCCCCCATCCTGGGAGCATCCTTTCCTGCTCCCCTGGCCTTCACTGCCGTCCCCATGGCTGCGTGGGGAGTGCCACTCGGGAGGTGACCACTGGCCCATCAGTCACCCTTGGTTGTCCCCTGCCGAGCTGACTGGCGGGGAGCTGAGTCCCTCCGACCAGGCGAGTGTTTCCTGGCTGCTCCCCTGTGCCCTGGCCGAGTCTCAGGGGTACAGCTCAGGGCTTGAACAACTGGTGGAGATTTCCCAAAACCACCTCACATGACATGCAGACTGGGAGTGACCAGAGACTCAGTTCAATTCCCTCACTGACATGCGAGGAAAAGCAACCCCAGCAGAGCTTTGAGGTCCACTCTCGGAGGCCACTTCTGTCCCCTGTGCTGAGCCCTTTGGTCATCGCCTTTGTCATTACCGTCAGCATCACTGACGGTGCTCAGAGCTAACGCTTGCTGAGCCTTGGTAAGTGCAGGCCCAGGTGCTGGATGGGGATGGTTTCCATTCACCCCTCACAACAGCTGAGATGAGGAGAACTTCTCACTGCCACACTTCACAGATGATGCAACAAAGGCACAGAGAAGTCAAGGGACTTGCCCAGGCTCACACAGCTAGCGGGCAGTGGAGCAGGATTTAAACCCAGGTCTGTCTGACCACAGAGCCTGTGCTCTGGACTGACACTGGCCGGCTGTACACTGTGTCCCTGGACAGTGCTCAGCCCCAGACTTTCCCTTCATTTCCATCAAGGCTGACTCAGCCCTTGTCTTGTACTCCGGACTCTGCCCTGACCTGGAAACCCATATGCCCCATCTGAGAGAGTCCCAGGTGAGAGCAGCCTTGGGCCCTGATCCTTTTGAGGAGGCTCGTGGTGTGAACAAAGGAAGTGGCCCAGAGAGAAGGCCTTACACCACACGTGGGGATGCGGGGGGTTGGGGAGCCCTCCAAGAGCCCAGGAAGGCTTCCTCGCCCCATGGAGAGGGCCAGTGAGGAAGGGGGCCTCTCCACCCACAGACGCGGGCCACCTGCCCGGCCCCCATGTCAGCCAGTTGGCGGAGAAGTGGGAGGATGGCAGGAAGGGAAGCCCACGAGGGGCTTGGGTGCCTCTCAGGGGTGGGGAGGTCTCCCAGAGGCCTGGGGCGTGTGGGGCGGAGGGTGGAATTCCCCAGGAGCTGTGTCCAGGAGGCTCCAGGAGCCCTCAGCCGCCTGGGGGAATTCTGCTGGCAAAGGGCTTGGTGCAAAACAAAGGGCAGTCTGTCCCCTGCCATCCAAACAGAAACACGGTCTCTCACTCTCCATATAGGCCGCCTGTCCGATGCCGCAGAAACCTGACTGGGGGCCCCCAGGGCAGGTAGGGCCCAGGAGCACAGGCAGGGGGTCTTGACCAAGGACCACGACAAGGGGAGTGCTCCAACTCTGGGCTGCCGTATCAGTGCCCTGCACGCGGGAGTGCACAGGCCTCTTGTCTGCAAGGTCCCCGCTGCGCAGAAGCTCTGCGTTTTCTCCCCTGCTCAGATGGCCACTGCCACTGGAGGCACGAGACACCAGGAGGAGGACGGCTCAGGGGAGAGTCTGGTGGACGTGGGAGCCAGACTCCCAGGTCCCAGTCCCAGCTCTGCCACTTCCTGGCTGTGTGATCTTGGACATGTTATTTAATCTCGTGCTAAACCTCATTTCCTCATCTGTGAAACAGGGAAAATATTAGCACCTATCTCCCAGAGCGGTGTTAGGATTCAGTAAGATAAGAAGGTAATCCCAGGGAAGCATGGCGCCCAGGACCTGGCTGGCTCGGATCAGCCCCTCATCCTCCAACGGGGGGCACATGCGGCAAAGGCTGCTGATGGGAGACCCCAGGACAGATGCCACTTCCGCGGCAGGGAGCGAGGTGCCGCATGGTGGCGACAGGCCCCAAAGTGCACATGCAGTGTGTGCCAGGCCCCCCTTGGCTCTGCTGGCAGGCTCCTCGGTGCTCTGTGCGCTCCGTGCATGGGGCAAGGCACGTGGGGCTCGAGGAAAACATGGCCCAGACTGCAGGGCTGGGCAGCAGGGCCGACCCAGCCTGGGCTGCTCTGCCCGCCGAGGATCCTGGAGCCTCCTCTCCCACGGGAAACCGCACGGTCAGCTCCAAGACCTCCTGAAGCCTGGCGATGCTCCACGGCCTGCCACCACCGCCCAAGTCGGCTGGTGGCGCACAGATCCCTGGGAGTCCCAGACCCCCCAGGCTCATGCTGGCAGGCAGGGGTGAGGGCAGTGAGGGACGGAGGAGGTTGTTCTGTGTCAGCAGGCTTCGCTCCGTGTGAGTCACTCTCTAGCTATGGCCCTTTGGGCTACCACAGTGTTTTTCTCCTTTTCTAGGAACTTGGTGTGCAACTTGCCTACCCAAAAAGAAAGGAGGAAGGAGAAAGAACCCACAGCAAACCTCGCATAACCCCAAAAGGGGATTTCAGACTTCACCCCTTGCCTCTTACCCACAGCAGGGTGACCTTGTCATTGCAGCTGTTTCACAAGCATTTCTGCCTGTCCCCTCCCCTGGGGATGCTCCGTGCTGCGCGAGGAGCAGACGAAGGCCCACAGCTTGTCTGCCTGCCTCTGCAGCCAGACTTAGGGTCTGGCCTGACGGGTAGGGCAGGAAGGGGCTGGAGCTCTTCCAGGCTGACCCTCCACTTTGCAAGGAAGGGCAGGGTGTCCCTGGACACACGTGGAGCAGGCCCTGGGTCTTCAGTGTGGTCTCTACACCACACCGCCCTGCCCCTTTCCAGCGCACCTACGACTCAAGGGAGAGGCAGCCAGAAACTCTGCTTGCCCCAAGACACAACAAGGGGGTTTATCAGATTAAAGGAAGTGCAGCCAAGATGCAGGGTCTGAATGAGGTGTTGGTGCCCTGCAATCCTGGGAAAACACACACATGCACGTGCATGCACACACAGACACAGACGAGACACACACAATCCTGATTATATTCCCCAAACCTAGGGGGCCTGGAGAAATGAGAGCTGGAAGCAAATCCACCACAGAGACAAAGAGGCCTGGAGAGCTGGTGTGGTCAGCAGGCAGCCCAACTGCACGTTCCCATAACAAGCCCTGGGATACTCATTCAGAGCCAACAGACGGCTGTGGCTGCGTGGACGGCTAGAGAGGACACGGGCTCTGCAGCCAGATGGACTCAGGTGCTCAAAAACTACACCCTCTCTTTGTGAGCAGTAACAGTGCAGAGCAGGATGGTGACTGGCCCAACATCCCACAGAAGGCCCAAGCCCGAGACTCCCAACAAGGAGACGACACGCTCTCAGGGCTGGGATGGCCAGTTTCCTCACCAGCCGCCCTCCTCCTGCAATCCAGAGCTGCGGCTGCACCACTGCTGGCCTTGCTGCTGGTGTCCACATCGGCCTCTCAACACACAGCAGGCCTCAGCGCCACGGGGAAGCGAGCGAGCTGGGCCCCCAGTCCCTGGCCGGTCGGGCAGGAGGATGCACGTATGATGGGCCAGACCCTGTCAGGCAGTTTCATGGCTCGGCCACTCTCTGCAAGGAGGTCTAATCTCCACTTTCATAGATGAGGAAATGGAAGCTCAGAGAAGCCCTGGTACCACGGCAGCTTCTCAAGACATGAATGAACTAATCAATGAATAAATCAGCAAACAAACAAACTCTTCCGGCCTCAAGGGTAAGTAAGAGGCAGTGCTGGGCTGGGAGCAGGTCAGACCCCCAAGTCCTGCTCTTCCCTGGCTTCCTGAACTCTCTCACGCGGCCAGTCAAGGGTCCCAGCTGCCCTGGAATTTCCGTTTCCTTCCCGCCTCCCTGTGGAGCCGACGGGTCAGGTTTTCATCACTTCACTCTCAGGCAGGCAAATACTTACTCATCCCACACAGGCTGACTCAGACAGTAGAGCCTCTGGCCCCTCTGGTGGCCCCCAGCCCTCTCTCTGCACGCTGGTCCTCAAAACAGTGCTATCTGCTCTCAGGCCATCGCCCCATCAGACCGTGAGCTCTGGGTACTGCCTGCCACAGCAGCAGTGGTGCTGGCAGAAGAGTGGAGCCAGCTGGGCCACTGATGGCAGCCCCCTCCCGATGGCTTCTCAGGCTGGCACCGCAGGGTCTGGGCCCCTGTGCCCCTCTCCCGAGGTCCCTCTCCCTGCAGCTTCTTTTCCTGCGACTGCTGTGGCTTTGGCCACTTCATAGGGACAATGGGCCCAGGAACCCTCCTGGGTGGGCAACCACATTACGGAACAGATCACCCCCCGCACAGCTTCTGCTGTGAGATTTGTGCTGCCTGCCACTTGCAAGCCCTCCAAATCACTTCAACTCCTGGACATGAGAGGGAGGTGAGAGAGGGGTGCCCTTCCCAGCCCTGCATTCCTGGGATTGTGGTGGTGCAGTGTGGCTCTCCTGTCAGTCCTGGGTCCCTGCACAGTTGGTGTCCCTCTACTGCTGCCCTAGATCACCTGGAGAGGCCCAGACCCTCTGCCTGAATGGGGTGATAGCCTGAGACAGGGGCCTTGCGTGATCTTCCTCTGCCACCTGGCTCACTGAGGATGCTGGACTGAGCCACCCAGATCCTCTCCAAGATGGAGGCGCCCTCTCCCCGCTGCTGGGAGTGTTTTGACCGCTAGTGGCTGCATCCTTCCCTGGGAAGTTCCCTTAGCCAAGGCTATGCCCCACCCTGGGCAGAGTCTGCATTCAGTGGCTGGTCACCGTGGGGGTACAGGGCCATGCGCCCCCTTGCCTGGATTTGGAACATCTGAAGGGCCACCTGGCTCTCGAGTTTTCCAGCTGAGGCCCTGTCATGACTGCACTGCAGTTCAGCCTCTCTCTCTCTGCCCGGTGCCCCGCTCTCCCCTGAGAGCACCCCCAGTAAACCTCCTGCATACCCATCTCAGAGTCTGTCTCCTGGGAACCTGACCTCCGACAGGACCTCCTTTGGCTCATCTGTCACTTCTTCTCCCACCTGTCCATTTCTTTCTTTCTTTTTTTGCTGAGGAAGATTTGCCCTGAGCCAATGTCTGTTGCCAACCTTCCTTTATTTTGTATGTGGGACGCCATCCCAGCATGGCCATAAATGGTGTAGATCGGCTCCTGGGGAATGAACTTAGGCCACCGAAGCAGAGCTTGCCAAACTTAACCACTATGCTCCTGGGGCTGGCCCCTGTCCACTTCTTCTAGTCATTTTCTGAGCACCCACTAGGCATGAACCAGGGAGGACTTCTGAGATCCTTCCCAGAGCTCCCTTCTCGGGACCCTTGAGGCTCCCCTTAGCAAGCACCATGTTCCCAGGTGGCAAGAGGCAGAAGCAGCCATCCCATCCTCCACCCCATGGGATTCCTGGGGGAAGTGGGCTGTTTTGAGTCAGAGTCCTCATGGGGACACTGCAGGGCGCTGGGTAGTGGCAGCATGTAGCCTGTGCCAACCCCAAGGTTACAGCATGAAAGAAGAAAAGTGAATCTTACCTCTTATTGAGCACCATGTTCCCAAGCTTCAGGTCTCTGTGCACAATGTTTTTCTGGAAAACAACAGGCACGTGATTTGTACCCTGAAGGTGAGAGCCGGGATGGGCCCAGCCTGTAAGATGTGGGCTTTCCAGGTGTTGGGAAGGAAGGAAAAAGCTCTGTGACATGTCCCTTTAGGCTTGGGCCTGGATTTGTAAGCCACAGACAGGTCAGGACCATTCTAAGGCCTCATAACCATGTGTACCAACGGGGTGAAAGGTGACCCCGGCAGTCTCTGCCCACCCAGGGCAGTTTGCCCAGCTCTCTCTCCCCTCGCGCCAACATCCAATGGGGAAAACCACTCCTCTCTCTGCCTTTATCAAACATCAAACCAAAAAACCCCCAAGCACCCTGCCTGGATCTGAGGTCAGAGATGAACTCTCATGGTTCTGGTGACCAAGTAATGCGGGCTCAGCCTGCAGGAGCTGTGTGCCTGGAAGAGGCCCAGGCTCTCCTAACCTGGACCTCGGGGTATGGGACACTCCAAACCTCGGAAAAGCTCAGAGATGGGCTGTGGCTGCCACTGGTGGCTATCTCACAGTTGTCATCCGAGCTGGGAGACCACAGTTTAGCCTCTTGACTGATGGGGGATTACCGTGCTGGGCTCTGCCATGCTGCCCGGGCAGCCCACACAGGAGCACGGGCTGAGGCCTGCAGCATGTGCCTCATCTGCGTACTGTCAGCCGGCTACTTTCCTTCAGGACACTCTCAGGGGCAAAGCACACCCGAGTAAGGTGAGACTGAGCTGCTTCTGCTGAGCAGCAGCAAGAAGGATGGCTTTCTGCGGCACATGGGGCCCAGGATGCTCCCAGGCCAGAGGAGGAGGGCGCTACGAGGGGCCGAGCGCACCTGGTGCAGGGCTTCCACCACGCGCACCACGTCGTAGAAGATCACTACAGTCTCCCGCTCGCTGAGCCTCTTCTCCTTGATGACGTAGTGCTGCAGGTTGATGAGGTCGGCCGTCTTGTCGCTGAAGTCGTGTGCACAGAGGCAGTCGAGGACGAGGCAGATGCGCTTCTTCATCTTCTTAACCATTCGGCTGGATTCTGTGTCCTCAACAATCTCACAGGTGCGGTCCTGGGAGGCAAGGGACAGACTAGGCTTGGCTGCGGGCACAGCAGGGCCAGGGCCAGGGCCAGGGCCTCTCCCCTGGAGGTGGATACACAAACCAATGAGAGAGCCTGGAACAAGCCTGCATGTGTGCGGGCGGTGGAGGCCTGGGGCCTGGGCAGCAGGGAACATGGGGCTGCTAAGCAATGCCCAGCTTCTAGTGTGCCAATGCCAGGCCCGGCCAGGGGCTGATGTATGCAGCTCTGGTTCAGGCTTCATGCTTTGATCCTAATGCAAATGTTCAGATACGGCCTGGGCATTTAAAGCCAAAGGGCCCTCTGAGCCAAGGGTGCAGGTAGCAAACCCAGGGCTCTGGGGCCTCTCTCCTCCATGGCACTCTCAGGGATTCCAGCAACAATCAATGTAAACTTCCTCCCAATGTGCAAGATGGTGCAAGTGGTCTGTGTGTCTAAGACAACTGCTTTCGTTTGGAAGCAGGACTTGTGGGCAGCCACGTAAGAACACAGCTCTGGTCCCTGACAGCTGGGTCTGGGCCCCAGCTCTACCTCATGCTAGCTGTGGGACCCAGGGCAGTTCCCCCAACCCGTGCAAACCACTGGGTCCTCATCTGTAAAGGGAGCTGGCAACCCCTACCTCACAGGTTGCTGAGAATAAGATGACCCATGCTAAGTGCTCAGTTTGGCCCCAGCCAGGGCTCAGTAAGTGGGTACTGAGCGCTACCACCACCACGGCTGCAAGCTCTGGACTAATTTTCCTTGTTGAAAAAGGACTTCCAGTGAGACAAAAACCAGGGACAACACAGGGACTTTTATCCTGTTAGCTCGAGGAAGCCCTCGGTGTCACCCCCAGCAGACTGACAGTTGCCTCTGGGGAACTCCTAGGGACTGAATACCCGTGTTTCTCCTTAACAGCAGGATTGCACGTCTTATGCTCTCTTCCTCAGAGGCCACCACAGTGTCTGGCACACAGAGTGACTCTAGAAATACTTCTTATCACCCAGGTTCTCTTATCAAAATGACAGGCCAAGCTCTGGAAGTAACCAGAGAGGAAATACTAAGAAATCCCAATCACCCTCAGTTTGACCTCATGTTTAAGGGAAACTCTCCCATTTTCAGAGTTGCCTCTAATTGCACATCTAAGAATAAAGCCCTCGGTGGGGTGTATGCGTGGGGTGGGAAGCGTTTTCCATTTATGTCACTTCAGGAAATCGAGCCAACAAGGAGCTCTTATTGCCTGAAATAACAACGACGATGACCAGAGGCAGCTCGGTGCTTCATACTCTCTCACTCATCCTCCCCACCCCTTACGAGGAAGGCACTGTTGTCATTACCCCATTTACAGATGACGAGTCTGAGGCTTGGGACCTGAAGTGACCTGCCTGAGGTCATACAACCTGAATCAGGACTGCTGGTTCCAAAACCCGTGTGCCCTCCCTGCACCGCGCTGCCTCTCGAGCACCAGGTCCATCCTCGCGAGAGTGGGCCCTGGCCAGCAGACCCGGCTGAGGCTCCAGAAGCTCTGCCGGGGGAGGCCTAAGCAGGAGTCCCCCCAGGCACGCTGAACCAGTTCTTCATTTCTGGAGACACACTGCAGTCCTGCCCTGAGGAGAGCTCTTTTCAGGGGACAAGTTGCTAATTGGTACCTTTCTTAAGGGACCTGGAACAACTGAGCATGGGGCTCAGGGACACCTATGAACTGAAATGCCTGGGCAGGAAAAAGGACTGTTGGCACCAAAAACAACCACAGAGATCTACAGGTGGCCCAAATGCCCAGTCTTCCTCATTTCCTTCCCTTCCAGCGGGGCCTGGCCCACAACTAGAAAGAGCTCTTGTGTCTTTAAATGACTTCCTGCTTTTCTTTTATCTTGGAAAAGTGGCTCTTCAAAGAAAGCCTGCAAGATGCAAACTCTGTGCATTCTGCTGGGCTGTGACCATCACAGCAGGAGTGCTGGAGCGGCTAGCAGGATCCCAGCCTGACCCCCAGCCCTCCCAGCGTGCAGGGAGACTAGGGGGCTGCATGGGTGAGCTGCTCACAGTACAGATGTGGCCCCAGCAAGTGCCAGTCCTGGGAGCCAGGCAGGGTGTGGGGCCATGGGGAAGGGGCACAGGCAGCCCCCTCTGCCACTCACCTGAAAGAGCCCATGGTGGTGAACCACGCCATCCTGCGTGTGGAGGAGGGAAAGCAGAGAGTACTCGGTGTGTAACAGCATCTTGCCTTGCCTCTCCTCCTGGCTTTCTATTCCTTGGTCCCCCCTCTCCTCAAGGGTAAGGATCTTTAGGAGGGCACACACACAAAAAAAACAAAAACCCAAAAACCTTACTTTACAAAGCAGAATGACTAGAACGGGAAAAGCAGGGGTTCATGTTCTACCATGCGACACTTGCACACACTCACACGTGCTCGTACGAAGCGAAAGTTTCTCTTAATGTGACGGCAATGTAATTTATGCACAGACAAGCTCTTTAAACCAGGAGTTGTTCAGAGCGAGACTGTGTGAACTGACTGCTTCCTGGGAAGAGACAGCGATACTCCTGTTCACAAGTGGTGTAGGTATGAAGGTGGAGAGGAGGGCGGAGCCGGGCTGGCAGGATGGTCCCTGGGTCCCCAGCCTCCCTCAACCCTGATGCCTCACTTACCTTCAGCTGATAGAAGTCATCCGTGCCATCTTTCCTAGCCAAACACTGCACAATGCTTGGCACCGGTGAGTTGCCCAGACGGGGACCTATGGCACAGAGAGCCACCAGCTTACTTTTCAGAGGCCCTGTCTATGGTGGTGCCATGTCACCAATTGGTCTTTTGGCTAGATCTTCTCTTCAGGAGGGCACCACGGATCACATCCACTGAACTCACCCCTCAGTCTCCTGGTGGAGAGTTCTCAAGGTTTCCCCTCCACAAATGGAGGAGTAAGTGTGCATCGGCCTGAGGTACACCTGGCTTTTACAGGCACATTTCCCAAAGAGAGGGGTGTTCGATGGTGGGTGCATGCTGGAATTGCTGGGGAGCACGTGTTAAAAAAAGAGATCCCAGCTGCAACCTGGAGCCTCTGAATCAGCAACTCCAGGGAGAGGGCGCAGGAGGCGACAGCGTTAACAGGCTCCCCTTGTGGTCTGATACAGCCACCCGGCCCCTGTCCAGTACCAGCTTTTGGGAGTTTCTATACTTCTGGAGATGTACACTGCTCATTGTCCTGTGACAGCGCTCTGCCATAGCTTTCAGAGCACAAATAAGATAATGTCACAGTGCTATTGTACTGCTAAAAACCTTAACAGTGTTCCACTGCTCTTAATGTATAAGCGAAACTCCTTTTTTGGCCTCCAAGGTCTTGCATGATTTGGTTCCTGTCCACCTTTCCGATTGCTTCCCCACTCCCCTGACCATACTCCAGCTACACTGGGCTCTTATTCCTAAGATTTTAAGCCCTTTCCTGTCTCTGGGCCTTTGCACTTGCTGCTCCTTCTGTCTGGAATGCTTTTCTCCTGCTTTTCACATGGCTGGCTCCTTCTCATCCTCGGTGGTCAGCTCAAATGTCACTTCCTCACACAGACCCTCCCTTGTCTGCACTATCTCTAGGCCCTTCTGACTCTCACATCATCTTGTTTGCTTTCATCGAGGCACTTACCGCCCCCGGTGAGGATCTTGTATATTGTTTACTGTTTCTTTTTCCAACTACAGTCGTGCGTCACTTAACGATAGGGATGAGTTTTAAGAAATGTGTCGTTAGGTGATTCTGTCATTGTGCAAACATCACAGAATGTAGTTACACAAACCTAGATGGTATAGCCTACGACACACCTAGCCTATACGGTGCTAATCTTTTGGGACCACTGTCATATATGTAGTCTACGTTGGCAGAAACGTTGTTATGCAGCACTTGAGCATAGAATGTGAAGACCAGTGAGGGCAGGAGCGCGTCTGTCTCTTTCACCGCTGCATCCCTGCACACGGCACAGGTGCGGCACACAGTAGGCATCAATAACCCTCTGCTGCATGACTGGAGGTGGAACTGTCCTGTGCCCATAAGTCCAAGACGTTGTCCCAAAGCAAAACTCACACCCAGACTCTGGCTGCTAGGAGAGTTGGGGTCCTCAAAGCCCACTCCACCTGCAACCCTGAGCACAAGTAATCTGGATTTGCCAGGCCTCTGACATCACTCAGAAAGGCCCCGCTGCTCCTCTGGACCACTGGGAACACCCAACTCTACAGGATTTCTCTGCCAATTTCACAAGAAGTTTGGGGGGGCTATACCAAATGCTTTGTGAAATTAACCATGCCTTCCCAGAATGGTCATAGAAGTGCCTTGGATGAGGGACCTTCTAACACAGCTTGAGTAAGTCCTGTGGGCGACATCCTGGGGGCAACTACAGGATTCTCTGGGGGAAGAGACAGTCTAGTTCTCAGCTGAGACTGATTTAAGGCTGATCAGCTACAACAAAATGACACCTCTTGGAACAGAGTGACCTAAGGCTCCAGATCTTCCACAGTCACAAACAGACTACATGTAAAGTGGTGAAACTAGGTCCAGGCTGAGGGTTGGTCAGGATCCCACGCTGGTGGGTGTGGCACTGTGCATGTCCACAGATCAGAATGCACACCAGTGCACATGCCCCAGCTCCCAGCCCCCCCACTCACCCTGTGGTCAGAGGCTTACCCAGGATGAACGGTCCAGCTCTCTTTGCATTATTTCCGGAAATCCCACTTCCTAGAGCCTTCGCCCTGGCTGACGTTTCCCCAGCTCCTCTGTCTGATGCTCTCCGCTTCATTCTCAGCTCTAGACGAGAGAGAAAGATCCTTCTCACTGAGCGAGTCAGCGAGTTTCCTTATGCTAACCCAGCCTGCGAGTCTCTGACTCAGGGATGCGTCACACAGCTGCCGCTGCTGCTCCTGCTGCCACCTCCTCCCCCTCCCAGAGGAGCATCCAAGGTGCCCAGTGACAAAGAACCACGGCTCCTCGACTTGGGACTAAGCAGGACTATAGGTGGATGTACTTTAGGGAGACTTTCCCAAGTGAGGGCTTCCTCCCAAATACCAACAGCCCCGTGGTCCGAGCTGCTGGTTCATGGGTCCCACGGAACCCCCACTGATCTGCTCTCTAGGGGTGGCGGGGAGCGGGCCCTGGGAAATGGCACGGTGAGCATGAGGCCCAGGGCTGCTTCTGCCCATGACATGTGAGGATGACTGCCCTGGGGAGCTCCTCTCAAACTCTCCTTGACTCACAGAGCCTCTGAGATGGAAGAGCCCCCCAAAGTTGTCAATGGGGGGGTTACTCTCTCTTCCCTCTCTATTTTCACATTTTTCTTTAATTACTTTAAAAATATATATATTGTACATTTAAGAGCCAGTTAAAAGACACCAGTGGAGATTGCTGAGCACTTTGATCTGCCTGGTGATCCTTATCTGCTCCAGAGTTAAAATGAAAGGTGACATTAACCTCTAGACATGGATAAAAAACCCAAAAAAGAGTTGCTCCCTCTAGCTCTCTATAGTTAACACCTCAGGAATGCAGTGTCCTGGAGGTGGGGCGAGGAAACAGATGTACACAGTGAGTCCCACACAGGGAAGGTGGAGAGTCACAGGGATGCTCAGGGATGGCCGCTGCCCAAACCCAAGGAGAGGTCCCTGGCCCAGTGTGGCTGAGGGGTCACAGGGAAAACTTCTCTGAGGAGGTGACACAGGAGTGGGCTGGGCAAGGGGCAAGGTCATCCCAGGCAGATGGACCCAGGTGAGCAAACGCACACAGGTAAGAAATGGCACATAAGCAACATAAGCAGCTGCTGTTGGAGTGTGCGGCGCGAGGCAGGGAGTGGCGAGAGGTGACCCCGACCTAGAGGGCCTCACAGCCACGTCAGGAGTGTGGCCTTCATTCTTCCACAAAGGGCTCGGGAACACTGAACCCTAAACTTCTGTATGTTTTCTTCAAACAAAAGTAATTGACATTCCCTGCAGAAACATTAGAAAATACAAATATGCAAAAATGGAAAATAAGGTACCCACAATCTCACCACCCTGAAGTATTGGCTGTCAACGTTCAAGCAGACTTTCCCGTGTGGGTGTCTGTCTGCGTGTGCACTTATGTACAGTTTTCATTATTACAGAAATTTCGACCACACTGTGATACCATTTTGTAAGCTTCCTTTTTTCCCACCTAAAATACATTATGAGGGTGAATTTTATGGTAGGTGAAATATATATCAATAAAGCCATAAAAAAACAAAACAAAATACCATAATCAACGTTGCTGCATGACAATATTCTTCTGTAGCATCACTTGAAATAGCCACACAGTCTCTTTGGTAAGAATATACTGTTACCATGATTTGTTGGGCTATACCCCTATTTAGGGACATCTAGGTTCTCTCCACTTTTTATATATTTTTATTAACCGTTATGCACATAGATCTTGGCATACTTGTCTCCCTTGCTCAGGATAAATTCCAAGAAGTGGCACTGCAGGGTCAAATGGGGTACACAGATTGAAAGGCGTTGAACACACCCTGCTGGGCTGTTCTCAGGGATGCTGTGTCAACTGATATACCATCAGCAGTGTGGGTGACAGTCCCAGAAACTGCACCAGGACTATTTCCTTATTTTTAAAAACTGCCTATTTGATGGGTAATAAAAAGTCTATCATCGCTTAAATTCATAGTTTAACTATTCATGTAGTCGAATTTGTTTCACATGCATACTGGTTCTGTGCATTATTTCCTTTATGAATTTCCAGTTCATATTGTTTTCTCCTTTCATTATTTTTTTTAACTGCTATGTGTGTATCAGTCATTGATTTTTAGGAACTCTTTATATATTCAGACTGTAACTGACCTAGGATGTAGTTTTTTCTTGATCTTTTAACTTTTTTAATTTAAAAAAAGATTAATTTTTTTTTTTTAAAGATTGACACCTGAGCTAACAACTGTTGCCAATCTTCCTTTTTTTTTCCTTCTTCTCCCCAAAAGCCCCCAGTCCATAGTTGTATATTCTAGTTGTGAGTGCCTCTGGTTGTGCTGTGCGGGACGCTGCCTCAGCATGGCCCAATGAGTGGTGCCATGTCCGCGCTCAGGATCTGAACGGCAAAACGCTGGGCTGCTGAAGCAGAATGCACGAACTTAACCAATCAGCCACAGGGCCGGCCCCAAAAAAGATTAAATTTTTATGTAGTCAAATAGTTGTTTTCTTCTTTAGTTTGTTTTTTGCTGTTATTCCTGGAAGGCCTTCCCCACTCTGAGAACAGGTCCATGTTCACTAGTTAGGTTAAATCTTCACATGTTGCCATTTTGGCCCTTATTCTAACCCCCAGAAGACTGAGTCCACGCCGTGAAGCGGAAAGTAGGAGAGAGGACCTGCTGCATGTCTAGTCCAACCTGCCAGGCTTGCCTCCCATCAAGCTGCAATGTGTTTTCAGAGCTGTGCCACTGAGGAGCAGACCCGTGATTTCATTCTGAGAGTAACGAGGACCATGTAACTCAGTAGGCCCTGAAAGTCCCCAAATGGAGCAGAAGCCATGGTTAGACTCGGCCGTGACTTCTGCCAAAAAGGCTCATGCTGGAAGCAGGTTCAAAGTCATTCAAACAAAAGCAGGGAAGAATGAAACTGCTTCTAGAAAAATCTTAAAAACGTGGGCAGTAATGTGTCTGGAACAGTGTTCCTGCTCTTTGCCTGGGGAACTTCTGTGCATCCTTCTCAATTTAAATACCACTTCCTCAGAGAAGCTTTCCTCGATATCCCCACACCAGTGGGTCCCAATCAGTCTCACTTGGTATCCTACAACTTTCCTTCAGACCACTTTCCGTTTTTTTATGATTACGTATTTGTGTGTTTATATGCTTAATGTCTGCCCCCCATCACTAGACTAAAACTTCCACAGGAAAAAAAGATTGCACCCCTAGTGCCTGGCCGAGCAGCTATTCTGAGTGGGTAGTGCCTTCCCTCCAGCTGGTGATGGCTCTCATTGCGTCGGCAGCCCTGTGCTTGTGTGCCTCAGGCGGCTCCCGAGCTGGCCCGGCCCTAGTAGAGAAGTTGGCTTCACTACCGTTCTGGCCCTGTTCTCCATCCTCCCTGGAGCACTAAGTCTCTTCTCTCTTCCCGGCTCCCTGGAGAGCACCATGGAGGCGTCCTCACATCTGTGTAGTCACTGCCTGGGCGCCTACGCACAGGCACGGTCTAGACAACAGTTTGCCGGCAGCAGCTGCAGCACAGACAATGAGTGGGCTCAGCCTGACCCCTCCCACCCTGCTCAGGATTCAGCTCAAGCAAACGGCATGGGAACTGCTCCAAAATGTAGGCAGACAGAAGGTTGGCAGCAGACGGGCAGAGAGAGGGAAAAGATGCTGGCAGGGGAAGTGGGAGCAAGGCTGCTTCCCTTCCTGAGCATCCCTTCATGCCCCTCAGAGCTGGCGGAAGCAAGGAAGCAGCGTGAAGAGGCAGGCCTGGGAAACCGAAAGCTGCTGCAGGCTCACTGGTGAGACAGCAAGAACAAACCCCCAGCACAGACCCTCCTTCCCCCACTCCCCTGCTGATGCACAGGGAGGGTGCACCCCATTCTCAAATCATCCTGACATGGTCCCTCCAGAGACACACCTGCAAATGGTCCACAAATGCTCCCATGGGAAAGGCTGCTTTGAGGGATCCCAGTTTCACAGTGAGACTGTGATGTGGAAGCTCTGGCTACCCTGGTCTCAGAAGGACTTGGGGCCAGCCCCCTCCAGAGACACTGGTCCTCAGGCTGGCCTGAAGGGCCCTGGCCCAGCCTGGCTAAGGGCAGACATTTGCCTGGTGTTTCCTGGGCCACTGCTCAGTTCCCCAGGGACTCAGCAGTCCTGGGTGAGAAGCCTCTGGAGCTTTAAATCTGTCAACTCTTCCACTTGCTATCCTCCCAAGTCAGCACCAGTCCCCTTAGGACCTGGCCTCAATAGGAAGCTCAGTGAGGCAACAAGGGGCAGTGGGGAGACCGGGAGGGAAGCACTGGCAGAGAAGCCAGCCTGGCACCCCGCTGCCTGCAGGCTGGGGCTCTGCTCCTTGGTTCTGAAAGCAGGGGCTTCCGCTTGCCTGGCCCAGCCTGGGGAGTGAGATGTGGGCCTCAGCATAAAAGGGTCTCAGCTCTGTGACAGCCACCACAGCAGGCCCAGAGGAGGGGATGCCTGTCCTACCCTATCAATTGGGGGTTAAGGTCATCTCATCCAAAGCTGCTGGGCAATGGGGGCCCAGCTCTCCCAGAAGGCACGAAGGCCAGGATGCTGGCAACACTTAAGGTTCTAAGGCCTAGGATGCCGCGTTCAGGGATGTAGTGTGACAGGGTACAGGCAGGTAGGTGGGGTAAAGCCAGGCAGAGCACCCTATGGCAGGGCAAGGTTCAACACAGGGGACGGACCAGCAACCCCAAAAGGAGGTGGCTGCAAAGAGAGGTGGTTCTGAGGCCTTCCCAGCTCAGCCTTTCCTCAGCTCCACCTGAGTGCAAAGTAGCTGACCAAGGCAAGGAGGGCCTGGCACTCACACCCAGAAGCATCCCCACAGGCCTCCACACAGGGGCGCAGACAGACAGTCCCAGGACACTCACACATGCACAGGGGCAGAGCCAGCCCCCATCCCCCACAAATATGAGGGGCAGTGACGGGGCCTGCCCACATGTGCAGGAAGTTCTTCACTCCACGTGGTCCTAGGCTTCCTGCTGCAACCTCTGGGCTCCTGGAGAGATGAGTGACCCTACAAACCACGGTGAAGGCAGAGTGCCAGGGCAGTCCCTGCAGAGCCAAGAGTGGGCCTCGGCCCAGGGCACTA